TGGCCTTGCTACCAATACACTGTAAATGTTTATCCCCCCTTGAAAACATTTTGCACTGACAAGAAAAATAAGACAACATTGAATACAGAGCAAGATCTCTAACCATGGTCTGAAAAAAAACAAAACTCACTAGAGAATGACAATATTATGAAGATTTAGGTGCTGACATGTAGTGACTGTTGTATGAAGCTTTCAGCTAGAAGCAGGAAATTAACATGAAAATATTTTGTAAAAAATAAGATACAGTGCTATTAAACATTGGTCAAAGTAATGTAGAGAAATAAAAGAGCAAAACATAACTGCAGTTCTACAGGCCTTTCCTTTACACCATTATTACCTTCTTTAATTCCAGCTTTGCAGTTTCAGTTACTGTTAACAGACACTTGCCTATTAAACAGTTCTCTGACAAATAAGAAAAAACATCAAATCTGAAGATGGTACTGGAGGCCTTCTGGTAGAAACAGGATTTATACCTAATTGATATGATGACATGTTTCAATCACACTGATTTACCTTCTGTAAAGCCCACCTACTTTACTTCATCTTGACTTCAGTTACAGATACAAATGGTCTCAATGCAGCATAAAGAGGGAAAAAAAGAAAATGTCCTCACAATTTCAGTCCTACTGTTAACTGAATTTGAGAAAAGCTAATAGGCACCAGAGACAGAAATTTTAATTTCAGAGTTATTCAGTAATCACCTTTTAGAAAATGCTAACATATTAAAATAAGGGTGTATACTCAGTTTACTACCTGACATTTACTTACACAGCTTTTTCTTACTAATTTAACGCTAATATTACTCCTTTAAAACAAAATTTTGTTCCATGTCTTCACAAATACACTAAAAAATTTAGTACTAAGTCACAATGTACGAGCTGCTCAGCCAACACCTGGGATCAAGCTTCTGCCATTTCTTGTTTCAGAATTCTTCTGTTTGTTAATTGATTTATTTAAAAACATTAAGGTTATTAGTTAATATCTGCAAATAATATTTAGACCTATTTTATGGTATATGCCTAGTTAAAAATCTTAAAAGTTATTAAATTCTTTTTCAAATCAAAGTACAAGTCATTTGGAGATAGAGAATACCAACATGACAAGAGGCTATACCACTTACTCAAGCACTGCTGGTCAAGACCTTTGACTGCTGCCCTTCCTGAGCTGGTTCTCTGCTGCTTTTACCACACAGCTATGAATACCAACCAGACTTTCCTATTTGCATGCTGCTTTGATACAAAAGCAGTAAAAACTATGCTGGCTGTAACAACATTAAGTGAATATAACTGCTTGGGAAGGTGAAAGAAGGAGACAATATTCAGTGAGGGGAAAAGGTATTCCTTTAAATATTAAGGGAAAAAACACTAGTCTAACTCCACAAATAACTTAGGAACATAATATACAAGCTTCTGTGTATTAAAAGCAGTGGGATTCTTCAGCCTGGGTAACACTGTGACACCACTTTTCATCAAATTTTGACAAGAAAGTTTCTAGACTCCAGGGAATTGTGGTATGAGGTCAAAGGTAAAACTTGATGATCATGGAGGTCGTCCCCAGCCTTAATGATTTTATGTAGTGATATTTTTCTGCAATCAACAAAACCTACAGCGGACAGCAAACTCACTTTTACTCAGAGACAAACATGGAGAAATGAGGGCAAACCTCCTACTTGTTGGAGGTCACCAGCTTCCTTCTACACGGCCCAGCCACACACAAACCCAAATGAAAGGCATGAGGACTCACACTTTAAAAATCATCTGCTAACACTTAAAAGAGAGACTTAAATTGAATGTGGTATTAACAAGACCAAACAGTTTTGTTAAAACTTTGTCAGTCACTTGTAATTGTTGATTTCTTCTATACTAAGTATTGGTTCTGCTCTGACAATTTATCTTGAAAGTTCCCAGAAAAATTTAAACAACTGAAATGAGAACTTAATAAAAACCCCAAACAACTGAGTTCTACAGTACTGTCTATCCCAAACATTCAAAACACATGAATAACCTCAAACCCTATTTATATTTTATACTACATGGCACACACCAAGTTTTAATCCCTCTTAGTCCATTATGTACTTTTACTGCCACCACCATGGCCAGAGAGAGAGCTTTGGCCTCTTGCAGCCCACACGTTCACTGTAGAGGTCCTCTCCTTCCACGCCTAGAGCCTCTTTCCCTCCCTAGAAGTACGCACATCTTACCTCTGTTCCATAGGGAATTTAGTCCATTCTCCTGAGCAGGAAACAATTTCCGCAGGGTCTCTTCCCTTCTCTTTTTGCATGGCAGCTTTGTAGCTGCCTCATTTTTTCTTCTGAGCAACTATCCTATTTAATGGGAGGAGCTAAAACGTCCTTGTTATCAGCAGGTGCGTTTGAAACTGACCACCAACACAATCCTTTCTCAGCTAAGGCTGGGAGTAGTTCACTCTTTCCGGGCAGGAATTGCGGCCCGAGGCCTCCTCGGGCTAGCCCGTGCTCCGCCAGGAGGGTAGCCCGTTGCCCCGTCAGGGGAGCAGCCCTGAGGAGGGCAGCCCGTTGTCCCGTCAGGAGAGCGGCCTTGAGGAGAGCAGTCCGTTGTCCCGTCAAGAGAGCGGTCCTGAGGAGAGCAGCCCTGAGGGGAGCAGCCCGTTGTCCCGTCAGGAGAGCGGCCCTGAGGGGAGCAGCCCTGGGAAGAGCAGCCCGTTGTCCCCTCAGGAGAGCAGCCCTGGGGAGAGCAGCCCTGAGGAGAGCAGCCCGTTGTCCCGTCAGGAGGGCAGCCCTGAGGGGAGCAGCCCTGAGGAGAGCAGTCCGTTGTCCCGTCAGGGGAGCAGCCCTGAGGAGAGCAGCCCGTTGTCCCGTCAAGAGAGCGGTCCTGAGGAGGGCGGCCCTCGCTCGCGGACAGGACTGCGGGATGAGGACAGGAGCCTTCCGTGAGGAGCAGAAGGGCAAGCAGGAGCTGATGTATGCCGGCTGGAATCGCCCATATCCTGAGGGCTGGATGGGAGAGGGAGTGAAACTACACTTGGCAGAAAGCGGTGGCTAGAGAAGGTGGTATGTTAATTTTAGGCTTTGTCACCATCCACATCCATTTTAACTGGTAGTTAGATACATTTCCCCCAGGTCTGCTTTGCCCACGACAGTAATTGTTAAGTGATCACTCTGTCTTTATTTTAACCTATGAGCTTTTTCATGTCATTTTCTCCCCATCCTGCTATAGAAGAGGAGGGGAAAATGAGTGACTGGGTTATCCTGTGGCTGCAATCCACAGTAAGCTCACCACTGTGTGGTAGACAGATATAATTATTTTCTTTGCTGCTAGTCTAGTTATTAACCTTGACTTGTAGAGTAATCTCAGTGTTCTTTGATGTTTTCCACCTCTGGCATCTTCTATTAATTTCTGTCCAATCATAGCTAAGGCCAAAAAGCAGTTTTAACTAACACTCCTTTATATATCTGTGTATATAAATTTAGCAAATTTCAGCATTATCTAATACAATCTTGCTTATTAAACAAGGGCATGCACTGTTGTTCTACACTTTGTTGAAATTCTTGCAAAAACCACAGTGAAATTTGTCACAATGTTAATGCAGCTTTCCTCAACCTTAGTTTGTGTGGTGGAGCTGTACAGCAAGCATGATTGCTCCTCCACCAGAAACAAGGAAGATAGAGGAGACAAATCCTCCTGCCTTCTAAACCTTTCCTCAACTTGCCCATTAGGAAACACTGAGGGGGGAAAGCAGCCATTCATATTTGGCTTTAGCGTTTTCCATTTTTCCTTTCATTTGGTCACACTTTGATGTATATTTTTTGAAGTTAAAAGAAATACCTGCTTCTAAAGGTATGCACGTCCATATTTTGAGAATTTGACATTTCTTCATGTATTTAACATTACAGCAATAAACACCCAAGACATTTTTGAAACATTTTCCTTTATTTGTGTATTGCAAACATATCTGCACATCACATGCTTTACTAATTTCTGGTCTGTGAAAGTAAGGCTGTAATTTGTAGGTCTAGTACATTAATCACACCTTTACCCCAAGGAGTCAGTTCTAAGAAAAAAACTACAAACAACCTTCCAAAGAAAAATTAAAAAAAAAAGCATACATACTGAATAGTCAACAGCACCTCTTGATTCTGTGATTGTTGCATTTAACTGCTCTCTCTCTTCCATATGTTTCCTTTCAGATGTTATCTTATTCATCTAACTGCTCCTTAAATTAGCTTCTGTAAAAATTATTAGAGTCAAGGGAAACCTACTAGAAGCATTAAGAACATTTTGATATGAGTAGGTTAAGGATAGCTAGTTATGACAGGGAGTGAACATCCGATAGCCTGTAAGAAGACAAGCATTGAAAGGTGGTAAACTCTTAAACCACCTCAGCTACACCCACACTTGTGTCATGCCTATTTGTGTGTTTGAAGGCACAACATACCTCACTCACAGCCAGCTTTGCCGTAAGAGCCCTAATCAATGACACTGACTTTACAAAATTAAATAAAAACTCAACAGTCTGGCGGCGGCGTTTGTGAGAGCTTGCTCAATTGTGAGCCCACCTTTGACTGCATCCTCAGCGAGAACCAAGATACACCTGGAACATCAATACCATCAGCGCACTGGACAGCAACCGCCAACCCGCGACCTCGGGCTTCCGGCTCCTGAAGAGCCTCCCGAGCGAGAGGGACAAAGGCGGTGAACGTACCTTCCCCTCGCTGCCCCGGAGGCCAGGTTCCCGCCGGCACTTCCGCGGCGCAGCCGGAGCGGTGCAGGGCTCGGCAGGCTCGGCAGGCCCAGGTAGCCCGGTAGCCCCTCCCCGCCGCCGGCCCCGCCCCGCGGGGGATGGAGGGGCCGCGGCCGGGCTGGCGCTGGAAGAGGAAGCGGGGACGCGCTACCGGGCGGCGGCGGTGGGGTCACGAACTCTGACCTGTCACACTGCACGGCACACACAACAAAACACGCCCGACCCCAACACAGTCCCGGCCCCCTCCCCTCCGCGGGCCCCACAGCCCCTTGCAGCCCCCGCGGGGGGAGGGAGGGCCGCTGCTGGGCACCGGCCTGCCCGGGCCCGGTCGGGTCACCGCCACTGCACCTTTGGCGCCCAATCCTGAGGTAAAAAACATTTTTTAAAATTGAAGCGGCCTGCTGGGTTTGTCTCGTGGGGGCCAGGACGAGGGAGGGGGCGCGGGGAGGCGGCAGAGGGCCCTACTCTGGACACCCCCGCGAGGGGAGGGGTGGGGTGACGGTGGGTTTAGGGGAGGGGGATTGCACGGCTCCGGTATTTGTCTGGTAAGCGAGCACCGGCCGTGGTCTGGCCTGGTCTACAGCTCCTGGAAAGAGAGGAAACGACCATTGTGGCGTGCTGGGTCGATCGGCGGGGCAGTCCCGTGCCGGAGCCGCTAGTTGCAGCGTGGGCCGGCTGAGGTCGGAGCTGGTCCGATCGCGGTGAGCAAAGTCTGCTGTCCAAGGGGTGTAGGGCGATGGTCGCGGCGATGATGAGCGCGGGACACCCAGAGAGACAGAAGATGGAGTCTGAGCGGGCGGAGGCGGCGGCTTGAACCCGACCCTTTTACCTTTGCCACCGGGAGGGCGGAGGGGAGGGGGCGGCGGGTACTTTGCATACGGGGCTGAAACCGCCGCCATCTTACCGGCCTCTTCCTCACTGCCATGCCTGGGCCTCCTCTAGGCGGACACAAGGCTGTACCGGAGGGGAGGGGAGGGGAAGGGAAGGGGCCTAATGGCGGCGGCAGCAGCCCCGCCTGGGCTCTGGCGGGCGGCCAGCGCCGCCATCTTGTGCTCAGTGAATCCCCGGGGGGCTTTCCCTCTGCTCGAGGGGCGGTACAGCCACTGTTACAAGCGGGTGGCTCGGCCAATGGGCGATCTGCGGGGGAGCGCTGCGTCTGTCGTGAGGTCATTGGTCGGGCCTGGGGGCGGGCCGGGGGCGTGTCTCGGCGGCGCGCGGCGGGGAGCTGCCGAAGGCCCTTCAGCAGCGGAAGGGGCGTGGCGCAGCCAATGGGCACGGGCGGCGCGCGCGGCGTAGCCAATGGCGACGCGGCAGGTCCGGCGCGCTGCCGGCGCCGCTCGCGGTGTTCCGCTCGGTCGGCGGTGTCCGGGTGTGGGTCGGGTCCTGCCGCCGGGACAATGTGCCGGAGACTGCCGACAGGGCTGGGCCCTGTCCGGGCTCCCCGCCCGTCCCGCCGATGGCAGCCTGCTGCAGGCCGCTCGGTGTAGCCGAGTCGAGCTCACAGCGTAAAGAACCTCGTTTCATTAAGACAAAGGAAAAATTTCAATAAGTTTGAATTCGGCCTTTTGTCAGTAGGGCCATACCCTTAGAACCTCTCAAGCTGAATTTATGACTTGCTTCTGAGGTTTCACTGCAGCTTAGGGAAAGATTACTGATTCTACACTGTGTTTTGGACAGCGTATACTGAGCTGGCTGCCGCCCTGTTATGCTGAAAATAATTTCCTGGTGCCTCTTCCTAGGTTTTAAATTTCACCTCTTGTGGTGATTTGGGAGGTTTTGTTGTGGTTGCCTTACAAACTGTTGCTCGAGGCTTTTGCTAGGAAGCTGATTTTGCCTTCTGGAAGTTGACACCATTAAAAAGCTTGGCATGGCTGTGTATGGTCTCTATGCTTCAGCTGGATTTGATCAGATAGCCTCAGCTTAAGGTTCTTTTGTGAAGGTCGAAAGTACAAAAAGCCTTGGTGATAGCACCAACAACAGCGAATCTGTCAGACTCATTCTATAGCAAACACTTGTGTTTTGTGTCTCAGAAAGCTACTATTATGAACAAAGTATCTCTATCTGAAGGGCTTCGGTCATCATAAAGCGCTGAGAAAATAGCACATTATAAGCATATGATTATGTTTCTTGTGCTTCTTGCTGAACATAAAAAAAATAAGAGGAAACACTGAATAGGAACCATTGAACAACTGAGAAACCATCCATAAGCTGAGTATGGTGGAAATGGTTCATAGTCTTAATCAAGTCAACACTTCAATAAAATAATGACGAGCTGTAGGAGAACCTAGCATAAATACAATTTCCATGGGGATGTCTCAAGTTTGATTATCCATTGTTGCAAATAATCTATACTTGACATATACAAAATTACTTTCACATTTGTCACAGTATAAGTGAATCCATTTAATTTAATTAATTCTGACATATTTAACAATGTTAGCTTTGTAGCAGTTACATTTGAATGGATGCTAGAGAGATGTGCATACGTTTTTCTGCTACCTGTGTTGCTATTGTGTGCTGTATTTTTAAATTTTATATTAAATGACTGCTTTGCAATTTTAAACAGAGGTTTTCAATGAAACATCAAACAAGCCAGAATCCAGAAATGCCTTTTTATTACCTACGCCTGAATCAGAATCTGAAGTCTAGCCCTATAATTAGCAGGTCACAATTAAAAACTGAATGCATTAATTGGAAATCTTAATTAAATTTACCTTGGAAGAAATACATCCATAATAATGATAATTAAAAATATATTGAAAGTGGTTTTTTATTGTTTCTTTATCTTTGATTTCTTTGTATTTTTTTTCTAAACCCTAAAGTTGAAGGTGGAGTTACTTGGAATAGGATGAAATGACTCTGCAGTATCACATTATAATAAAGAAATAGCCTAAATAATGGAAGATACATTTTAGATGAAACTGTTTATTTCCCTTATTGCGTAAGATTACTCTTAAGAATGTGGATGAACGTGGTGGTTTGATGGAATGACTCCAATAAATGCCAAGCAGCATTCTTAGCTTGCTGCTTCCTGGTTCAGCATGTGGGGTAGAAGCAGTTTAATGGCAAGGTTTCTCCTGCCTGAGCTGAGGAAAGTGCCTTTGAGATCTATGAATTCTGCAAGCTGCATTAGAACTTGACTTTGAAATTAGTCCTTTCTCATTTATGAAATTAACATCTCTTCTTTACAGCTTAAATAATGGACTGGAAAGAGTATATTAGAGGCTTAATTAAGTAAAAGAATAACTGTACCTCAGCAGTTTGAATAGTATGCATGTCCCATATATGTTTATGTGTATGTATGTATGCGCGCACACACACGTCAATAGCACCTTCTCTTATTTGCCAGATATTTCAAGCAGAGTTGTAAATTTTCAAAAAGTCATAGCAGAGCGAGCTTTAATACTAAGAAAAAACCCAAACTTTTGTGCCTGATGGAGGTTGCTGGCATCTTTCCAAACAGGTTCTCTAATGGTCTTGTTTCACCATGGCAACCAATATGGAGGTGCTGGCTCAGCAGGTAGTGGAGACTCAGCAGGTGGCTGAGGTGAGTGACAGATGATATCACAACAGTTGGTATATGAGATTTTGAAATTAAAAACTTATTAGGGAGTCCCTGCTGTTTACAATTAAGCATAAACAGAACGGAAGATCTTTAAAGAAAAGTGCTGCTTTACACTTGGGGACAAGCATGAAAACAGTCCAACTGGAACATGTTTTGTTCACCCTACTTTGTTCTGGTGGCCCCCATATTAAGACTGTAAGTAGAAACTTCAACATGAGCTATAGAGAAACTTGGCTGTATTATGAATTGTTTAAAAAATTGATATAACAAAATTTCTTGTCATTTGATCATTAGATTGACCTTTTGGGACATGGAAAGCTTCTGCACCTAATTGCAATTGTAATCTAGATCCACCACAGTGTTTGAAGTTACCTGTTTTACTTATGCACCATTCTGAATTTACAGCAAAGTGGTTAACTTAAATCAGTTTTTATATTTTGTGTCCACACTTTAAAGAAAAAAAGCACAAAACCTTCTTAAAGTGATATTAAGTGATTAAGTGATGTCTAGATACATATTCACTGAAGCTTGGATGCTCAACAGCTAAAAAGTTTAAATCAGCTCATAAACACAAACTGCAAGTGTTCATGGCCATAGAAAGTAATTTATCTCCCTCACTATGCAAACTTCAGTCAAAAAATAAGCAAGATCTTTTGTCTCATTAAAATTATTTGGTTTAGCATCCTTGAACTTTACTGTGATTTTTCGTATAGTTACGTAATTAAGAGATTTAATAAATAATAAAGGGCAAATGGGCTGAGAGATAAGGCCACTTTTCAGACATTAGTGTGGAGTTTTCTTTCACCCAATGATCTAAGATTATACATGTATATTAAAAATATTTTTAGTTCAAGAAGTCCTATAAAAGAAGAAAATATAAGTTTAATTCTGATTTTAGAAGTTGATTTGAGATTCCGTACTTAGAAGTACATTTTTAAAAAAGAAATTTCATTCTTTTTAACAAAATGGCTCAGTGAGTGTCCTGCAATTGTCATCTTGGGATAGTTTCAAAAAAACTTCTCAAGTTTCACAGTGAAAATCAACAAGAGATTTTTCACTCTAGTTTTCTGTACCAGGTATGAATTTGGCAAGCTGCATTTTTTTAAAAACACTTCCAAATATACTTGGAAAGAGAAACCTGTAATGGAAAACTTTATACTATATTGGTATAACATCTAAAGCACATAAAATATGTGACATCTGTAATTCCTCGTGCAGGAAATGCACCGTGGTAACATAGTGTGATGGTTGTATCTTGCCACTGGAGAGATCGCTCCATCTCAAGAGTGTATGAAGCTCTGTGATTTCTTCGTGGCCGGTGGGTAAATAGAGGGTTCCATCTCTTTATAGTATTCAGCTGCTGCTTAAATGATATGCCTGTCCACTGCATAACACCATGAAAACTGTTCATGGAAAACCAGTTGTAAGCAGCATTATCTCATTAGGAATTCATTAATACTATGACCATGTTAATATTGAATAATTTATGAATGGCTGACTGCCTGCTATTTGTCTTCTCAGTTTTTAATACAGGTAAATACATAACTAGTTTTCTTTAAATATGCTAAAATTCTGTATTTGTACTCACCATATGTTAGAGAAAATCAAACTTGGCACTGGCTTTAAAAAATTAGAGACTTTTGGAATATGATATTTTTTGTCAATGAAAATTAAATGGAAGAAGAGGGTTATTGACAATGCACTGAATTTTAGGTTATGAACTGTGAGAGACAAGTTGCAACTGGAATAACCTAATGCAAATATTAGTAGCTTTACCTATATCCCCATCACTTTTTCAACATAACTGCCATATATGCAGTGGCATGGGTTTATTGAAAGCTGTGATGCCAAGCACCAAACCAGACTGTCATGCAAGTAGGCTACATTCTTTCTCTTTCTTGAGCAATAGTTCATCAGTTTTTTCATAAAATGGAATGTTTCACAGAAGTTGCTGAGTGTGCTCCAGTGTTGCATGTATTTTTGTACTTATTCTATTTTTAGGACTTTTAAAAATTGTTCTTGTAATGGTTTCAAATGATTTCACTGCTTTTGCTTCCTTGTGCTTTATATAGTGTCGCTTGTTAATTTTTTTTCCAATTGTGCATTTCTGAACGGACTGGATGAGAGTTCCATTTTTAGTGTTTGAAGTTGCCATTACTTACAGTTCATGAAATGGAAGAACAAAGAGCAGCTAGGGGATTTGGAGGGAATTTCACCAGTTTCTCCTCATCCTGTGGAGCTTTTGAAAAGCAGGAAAAATACTTAAGCCTTAATGCAAAAATAAGTAATGCTGCTTTTCTGAAGTATTTATTTAGTACTGTCACTGTACAATATGCAAGTGGCCTAGCTGCAGTCCCAGCACCAACTTAGATCTGACTTGAATACTGTTTAAGGAAAACGTGTTTGTTTTTAAAGTGGAGGTGCATTCCCTGTGTAGTACTTATGATTTTAATGCAAAATTAAAAAAAAATTAAAAAAAAAAAAAGAGCTGTTTTGGGTGGGGTGTGGAGGAAGGGGAGGGAATGTGTGGTGGTGGAAATAAGGGCTATTTCATCTTTCCAACAGCAGCTCTGGTGTAACCAGGAATAATTTTTAGTAGTTGCTACAACTGTCCTTGGCCAGCTCTCTGGCAGCCACAAACTATTCCCGGTGCATCCTTTTCCTTGTCAGAGGCTTCAGGGAGAGAGTTACATGAGGTGACTGTTGAGCCCTGTGCTTCCTGGATCTTGTTTATGACAGTTACAGTGCTGGAGAATTTTCAGTTGTTTTCAGTTCCCTCAGTGTCCTGAAAGGAAACTATCAAAGTCTGAAGCCTTTTGGAAAGCATGTTTTCCCATTAAACTCAAAAAATACTGTATATCTTTGTCACATAAAATATTTTCTTGACCCTCTTCAGATATCTCTGACATGTTACATCATAAGTAGTTCTGCAGTTCAGATTTTCGTCCACATGAAGATATGCTTGAAAAGGAGAGTGGAAACACCGTTGTTCTGATAGAACAAGTTTTTACTTTGTTTTAAGAATTAAGAAGTATGACATAAGACCGTTTATATTTAATATTTTATTGCTGTCATTGGCCACTTGCTCATTTCTGATGATTTTTCAAAGTGGAGTTTTGATGCAAAGTCTTCTTAAACAATTTTTGGTTCAAATACAGCTTTTCTCAAGTTTCAATACAGCTTTTCTCAAGTTCCTGTTAAGGGTACCATGAGCCTGAGAGGTATTCACAGAAAGTGCAAATGGGAATAAGGAGATTGTATCTGGTTTAGGCAGTTGGGCAGCATTTGAACTGAAGACTGTTGCCAGATGTGGCATAGCTGCTGGTGTAATAGAAGTGTGGGGTGTTCCATAAGAGCTGGTCTGAGATTTTCTTTAGCATGCAGATGTGGCAATTGCAGTTTCTTCCATGATTGTTGCCTTTTTATGTGCTATACAAGATCTTGCACTGGCATCCTATTAGGGCAGTTAAACTAGAGTTCTAGTGGTGAATTTGACTTTTATCTGCCATCCTACAAAGGGCCACTTGGGAGTGGTCAGGAGAGCTAATTCCAAGGAGAATAATTGAAATGTTTTTTAGATGTGTCTTACAACTGTCAAGGAAATATATTTGGATATACATTTTTGGCAAAAGCCTATTATTAATTTAATAGCTAAAGCTACTCATTAGGAAAAATATCTATGGAAAAATAAGTCTTTCTGATTTGATTTGAGTTGCAGGTGTAAAACTTGGTACCATATTTTTCATTTAAATTCTTTAGTTGTTTTATGGGTGCAGTTAAAAATATTTGGTCTGTGATTGCTAAATTATGCTTTAATTAATATAGGAAAGAGAATAGAAATTATTCAGCCTGAAATTGGTTTACACATAATGTATTCAAGCAATACAATTACTTTGGCTTTTACTGGAGTGCGTGTAGAAAATGTTTTTCTGCTTAAGTTAGAAAAGATTAGAGGCTTTAAAAATTTCTATCTATGTGGCCAATGGATTATTCCTTCAATTTATTTCTCAAATGCTGTTTTTATAATCAGTGTCGGAGGGGGAAATAAGCTACAGAAAGTACAGCAAATTTGGTTAGTCAGGACAAATATTTATTATATATGTACATATGCTCGTACAAACACACATAGATGCATATGTACATGATGGGTAAATCAGTCAATTACTGTATAAACATGACTATATGCCTATGAAGAAACCTTATTTATTTCTAATGACATAAAATAATGAAATGCTTGGAGAAACTTAACTTCAAACTACTGATTTTATATATACATATATATTTTATATATATACACCCATCTACTGGAAGTTTAATATGATTTCAACTAAAATTTAGAAACTGAAAAAAGTAGAAAAAATAGGGTAAATATACAATTATATATATTTATGTTTACAAAGAGAAAAAATATTAGTAATTTAAACAGAAGAAACCAAATTTGATTTTGCCAGCCTTCAAAATGCACCTAATTGCCAAATACTTTTTAGCTTAATGATGAAAAGGGTAGATGCGTATGTGTTTAAGTGTGTCTTTGTATTTCTTGAGCTTTGTACAGATTTTCTGTGTCACTTAAGGCAAATCATTATTAATTTCTATAAACTTCAGCATATGAAATTATTGCTAGTGGTACTTACTGGTCTGAGAGCAATAGCAGTTATATTCTAGATACAAACAATACTTTCTTCTACACTAGATCACAGTTAGTTGACCTAACATTTACGGTGTACCCCTGCTGTAAATACACTCCCGTAGGTAATTATGTATGGATACTATTTTTAGAGAGATATACAATAGATGATTGTGTTTTCTGTCAAGTTAAGTGCTTAATTTCAATAGTGAGCATACTTCTGTGCTGTGGAATCCTTGAAATTAGAAGAAAATACTAATGCTACTTAGACAACTAAATTATTCATTTGCTGCAGAAACTTTCCTAGTGGAAGTCCACTGGATTTTGTTGTTTATTGTTGTTAATAAGTTTATTGTTGTACAACTTGTCAAGTAGATGGTCACTTTCACAAAATTTCATGTACCATAACTTTAACAAATTTAACTTTTGAAAATCTTAAAAATATTTTTTGTTTTCATCCATTTGTCAGCTTTCACTGCAGCCTCATAAAAATGTTTTGTTGTGGAATGAATTTTTAGAGCTAAAGATGCTCTATGGGAAATCTGATGGATTTTCCTTTCAATTTTGTTAATTTTAAATTATTTTTCCAAGTGAGATCACATGGGACTCACAAGACCTGGGGATCAGGCCCAGCTAGCGTGGGTTTAGGAAAGGCAGGTCCTGCCTGACCAACCTGATCTTGTTTTATGATGAGGTGACCCACCTCGTGGATGAAGTAAAGGGTGTGATTGTGCCTACCTGTACTTCAGCAAAGCCTCTGATACTGTCTCACAACACTGTCCAAGGGAGGCTGTGGCCCAGGACTTAGACAGGTGCATCTTCATGGGGTTAAGAACTGGCTGGGTGACTGGGGCCTGAGAGTGGTGGGGAGTGGTGCCACATCCATTCTTCAGTCACTAGTGGGGTTCCTTAGGGCTGTTTTGGGCCCAGTTCTCTTTAATATTTTTATGGATGACCTGGATGAGGGGACTGAGGCAAAGGCCAACAGTGTTCAACAAGGCCATGGGTCCTGCTGTTGGGTCACCACAATCCCACACAGCACTCCAGGCTTTGGGCAGGGTGGCTGGAAAGACACTCAACAGGAAAGTACCTGCAGGTGCTGGTCGACAGTGGCTGAATGTGAGGTGGGTGTGCCCAGCTCACACAAGAAGACCAATGGCATCCTGCCTTGGATCAAGAGCAGCATGGCCTGCAGGACCAGGGTAGTGGCTGTTGCTCAGTACTGGCCACTGGTGATGCCACATCTCAAATCCTGGGGTCAGTTCTGGGCCCTGCTGTGCAAGAAAGACGTTGAGGGGCTGAAGTGTGTCCAGAAAAGAGCAAAGGAGCTGGAAAAGAGTCTGGAGAATCAGTCACTGAGGAGTGGCTGAGGTAGCTGGGTTTGTTAGGCCTGGAGAAAAGAAGGCTTAGGGGGGACCTTTTCAATCTCGACAACTCCTTGACAGGAGAGTGGAGTCAGGTGCGGGACAAAAAGAAATCGCTTCAAGTTGTGCCACATGGGGTTCAGGTTAAACATACATTGCAAACCCAGAAAACAACGTGGCTGTTCAATTCCAAAATGTTTAAAGAATTTCCATGCGGGTACCTTATGTCTGTCTTGTCTATCTTTCTCCTTGAACAATACAGAAGAATAGACTATTCTTTTTCTCTAGGCTGCCTGGAGTACATTGTGGTGTAAGGTCTGAAGATGGATCAATGAAAGGCTAAGGATTCTACAGCTGAACAATTGTAAAACAGTTTTAAAAGACCTTCTTGCTCTAATTTAGATCTTTTAAAGGGCACACAGCCTTGTTAATAATTCGGCATGGAAGACAAGATCATCAATTAAATGTGTCCTCTAAGAGTCTGGATTTTTGAGAGTCTTTTTTTCTCACATAGGTATCTTGTTTTCTGCAGCTGAAAACTTTGGATCATCCAATAATTAGAAGACACCTCTTGTTTCTACATCTCTCCTGTCTGTTTTCCTCATTTAGCGTGCAATTTTTGTGACCTGTATTAAAGATTGTATACACTTTTATAGTATGTGGAACTACTTATGGTATAGGCAATAGGGGAGTAAATGGTATGATTTCATTAAGTCTTGTGTATTTTAATACCTCTGCTTCCCCAAAGGGACTGCAGTTCATGCTCCTTGCTATCCAAACTGGTTTTTCTTTATGTCATAAATTAACTTTTCTGTATATTAAACAAAGATTTTTGAAAGCAAGCGAAAACTGAAACTGTCCTGTTGTCCAGTTGTAAAAAATCTGATATAACCCCAAGATTGTTTAGAAGAGGATTTGATAAAAACAACTTGTGACCATCCTAGTATTGGACATGTTAATGCAGATACCAGGTTGATAGAATGGTTTGGGTTGGATGAGACACCTTCCACTATCCCAGATTTCTCCAAGCCCTGTCCAGTATAGCCTTGGACACTTCCAGGGATCCAGGGGCAGCTGCTCTAGGCACCCTGTACCAGGGCCTCACCACCCTCCCAGGGAAGAAGTTCTTCCCAATATCCAATCTAAATGTTGTCATCTATGTTTAATTCAACATTTAACATTTTTGCTCTGAAAACAGCTTTGCAAGGGATGTTTTTTGCACTAAGTATTCAGAACTAAATTTGCATTATAGTTTGGTGTCTAGAAAGGTATGGAATAGGACAAAAAACAATAGTATTCAGAAGCAGTGTGAAAGTTAATCTCTGTCATTCAAAAGTACTTTGAAATTATTAAAAGGGGAACTACTTAACATTTTACTTACAGAAGAAAAAAATTAGACAAGTGTATAATCGAAAGTTAAAAAAAAGTATTTCTGCATTTCAGTAAGCTAAAGAATCATACAGTACTTACCTAGTGATTCATTTGAGCAGCGTGTGGTGGTAGTGGTGGTTTGGTTTTGTCAGGTTCACTCCATTTCCAGAAAAAGAAAAATATTCTGATAATTCACTGAAAGCCAATCCAAGTTGGTTGAATGACTGTAACCTTTCCAGTAAATTTAGATTCTAAACTATAGGGCTATCTGATCTTTTATAAATATAGGTATTTTAAAAAGTGTTCAATACCTTAAAACTGAATTAAATTTCTGTGTGTTATTTACAGGTGCCGACTGTTCAGACTTCGTTATCTGAATCTCCAGTGATGACCAGCCCTTCTCAGCGTATCCAGATAATTTCCACAGACTCCTCTGTAGCTTCACCACAACGCATTCAGGTAAAAATCCAATAATTAACCAACTATCATAAATTTTCTTTTTTTCTTCTCCTCCTACTTAGCTTTATACAAAAGCATGCTAAAGACTATGGAATACTTCCTTTAAGTCTTGTGAGATTAGGTAATTTTTAGTGAAAATGAAAATTCTTTTTCCCTCAGTATTGGTGCTGACTAGATGGCTGTATATAATAGTTAGCCAGTGAGGAGTATTAACACAGGTTAAACCTTGCCTGCACAAGCAAATCTCCAGAGCCCTGGCCACACCAAAGGGTGAGATATTGTCAACAGATATCTGAGATTGTCTCCAAGTGGATTCCCCTTCCACTTACTTAGGAGCCAGTAGGAGATTGATCTATTTAGCATGAAGTTGGCCTTTGGGAATGCTGCACAGTGGAACTTTGTTACTGGGAGATAATAAAAAGATGTCATTAATGTATCAGAATGTATTCAATGACAAATTACATAGGACTTAGTAAATTTTAATGAAATTCTAGTGCATATTGATATGGTTACTCTACCAGGCAAAATAGAGATCATGCAACCAGACAAGTGTATCAGAAATAGAAACCTTCAATCATAACAGAATCTTGAAAATTGGCATGTGAAACAATAAAGCTGCCTGATTCCATCTTTTGATGATAACTTTAGGGAGTAACATCTGATGTAAAATATATTGGTAAATGTTAACTGGGGAACATCTCCCTAGTGATATTTATAAAGAAAACTTTGAGAGACCTTCTTTGTAATTTTCCACTGATATAATTCTGAGATGTAATGAAAGGTTTTAAAACAAAATTTACTAATTTCTTCAATGTTTTACAGATTGTGACAGATCAGCAAACAGGTCAGAAAATTCAAATAGTGACAGCAGTGGATTCAGCTGTGTCTCCAAAGCAACAGTTCATTTTAGCTAGTCCAGATGGAACTGGTGCAGGAAAGGTGATCCTGGCAGCACCTGAGACATCTAATGCCAAGCAGCTTATCTTTACCACCACAGACAACATTGTGCCAGGCAGAATTCAGGTAAATACAGTAATTTAGATAAACCATGTAATATTTTTGCGGGGGGGGGTTGTTGTTTTTTGTTTGTTTCTTTTGTTTCTAAATTAAGTCTAAATTGCAGTAGTTTTCTCATGACATGGATCAGACATACTGATTTTAGGCTTCATTGTTCAGTCACAAATCCTTCAGTCTTCACCTACCTCATGTATTCCATTGCACTTATCATCCCTCATCATGTGTTCTCATTCAGGTTCCAAAGACATATGGGAATCCTTAAGATAGTGCTTGTGAGAAGTGCCAGGATTTCTTAGTCTAAGATTCACTCATATACAGAGATACAACTCACCTGAGCAAATTTACATGAGTTCGTACTTTACATTCAGTATCAAGACATTGCAATAAAGCTCTTATGGTTTTTTGTGGGTCTTGAGCATAATCTATATGAACAGAAGCTTTGGCAAGCCAATGATGTAACAATAATCTATCTCTCATGAAATTTCAGATTTCTTCCTAGCAGTCTTAAAAAAAAGAATAAAACAAATGAGAATGTGCCTGGTCTCTCTTATTACTGTTACAATAGAGAATATTTTACAGGAAGAAGAGTAACTTTTACATAAATATTTTTAAAATGTTATTAAAAGTCTTCTAAAATTCATTTTCCATGATAAATAGGATTTCTGACATTACAGAGGGGTTGGGTTTTTAAATTTTTCTTGGTTAAACTGAATGTTCAGAACAGAAGTTTTGGAATCCAAGGCCTTTGGAAGCTAAACTGTTTCTGTTATAGATCTGAGCTCCAGGCTATCCTCTCTGAACCACACATCCCTAATAGTTAGAGAAGAGATAGATGGGAACAGCATCTGAAAGCCAACTGTCTTTGGCTAAAGTATAGCAGCCACTTGAGAGTATTTGCAACAAGAGAAAAATACTGTTGATTGCACAAGTGAAGAAACATTTGTAATAAACAAAGCTAGCAGTTTTATTTGTAATTTGTTTTGATAGGACTGTTTCAAAAGTCTCTCTGTTGTCAGTAAGAACTCTCATTAAATTGCATTTTATACTACTTAATTTCATTCCAAATGCCGTACTTATTCATAAATTCAGTCCCCTCTTCTTAGCTGATACACCAATCTTGTTCTATAGGCAAGACTCCTTACCTTTATATCTGGCTAATTACATCTTTTTATTCCGGAATTTTGCTTTAGATAGTGACTGACTCTGCTTCAGTGGAACGTCTGCTAGGAAAAACTGATGTTCAGCGGCCCCAGGTAGTAGAATATTGTGTAGTCTGTGGTGATAAAGCATCAGGTAAGGAAGCCTTCAAAGTGATATTGAAGAAACTTGCTTGAAAGGATGACTGGGATGAAGGGATGATTTTTCATGTGCTTAAACTGATTTAAGTTATGCTCATGGCAAAAGTAACTGAGTTTTTAAATGGAAAAATATACTCTCTGTCTATACACAAAAAATAGCTAAACTCTGCCTGGAAGAATATTATGTTTTCTCCTTGAACTGAAGCATACAATAAATTGGCTTAAAGATAAAATAATGATTAAATTACTCCTGGTAATTGAAAAAGACTGCTTGAAGCATGTAGTCAAGTTCCCCACAGTGATGTGCTACCATGAAATAAACATGTCACCTAAAAATGTGTAACTGCTCCAAGAAAATGCTTCTTAGTGCTCTCTAACAAACTTAACACTTCCTGGTAGATTTTTTTCTTCTACTATCACAAAACAAGGCAAGCAGAGATTATGTGAAACCTCAGTGCTTGAGTAACACGCAGTAACAAGGAATCTTAAGATAAAATTTTTTTATTTGTCAAGGGGGTGTTCTGTGCTTTCATCCTAGAGAGAAGACACCCTTCTGTCTCTTTTTCTCACTTTCTTTTTCTTCTTTTAAGTGTTTATGAAATTAAAACAATACCAGAATTAATATGGACAGGAAATTTAAATTAAGATTGCATTTTAAATTTTGGTGTAAAATTACTTGTTTTCTGAAATTACTTGAGCTCTTAGCTGATATAGTCTCTAAACGTATGCTATAGTCTGTAACAGCAGATAGAATTGTATCTGTACTTAAACAGAGTGGGAGCTACACCTTCATCAACCACACCTTCAGAAATAGCCTGAGCCTTCCTCTCTTCTCTCCACTCTCTCACCAAAACCCCTGACATTAGGTAAACCAGAAATATCTTGTGAGACTGTAGTAATGCCTTCATGGTCTAAAATGCTGGCATAAATCCAAAACAAATTTAAAGGATGACTTACAGTGTTTTACTTGGTTAAAATTAATATTTCTATGCTAAATTATAAGTAATTTTCAACTGATAATATATATGTTTCCTAGGTCGTCACTATGGTGCTGTCAGTTGTGAGGGATGCAAAGGTTTCTTTAAAAGGAGTGTAAGGAAGAATTTGACCTACAGTTGTCGTAGCAACCAGGACTGTATCATCAATAAACACCATCGGAATCGATGCCAGTTTTGTAGGCTTAAGAAATGTCTAGAGATGGGCATGAAAATGGAATGTGAGTGTTAAGTACTCAGTGTGATATTGTTCCTACCAAATAACAATTATGTGGACTACAATTTGTTAGTGTGTTCTTTCTGTTTTGGTATATGTTGCTGGAAGGAAACAGAACGCTTTGGCAGCATCTAGTGCACCTTTCTTTCATCACCATTTTATGTCTGAGGTGCAGTAGTGGTTTGTTCTGAACCACGTCTCCAAGTACTGTTGCCTTTGAGGAGCCCAGTTACAGCTGCACTTACAATGCATGTGCCAAACACAGCGTATGTTTATAACAGAAAATATTTTGACGTGGATTGACATGAATCTAAATCTAATATTCTGTTTTGAGAATCTGCTTTCCTTCCAGTTTATTTTTGTGGCTTTTTCAGCCAGTGATAGAAAATAGTCTTTTTTTCCCCCCTTTTTAAATTTTTATGTTAATTTCATAATTTGTGAGCAGTGTTTTATGAGGCATTGTACAAAATGTCATATGTTTTAAAATATGCTTTCATGTTTGTATGTAGTATTTCATACATTTCCAGTGCTAGCAGCCAAACACTTGTTTCAATATATTTTTGTTTTCAGTTTATATCACGTGTTCTTCAATTTAGCACTACGTGAAACAATTACAAAGTTGTTTTGTGATACGATATAAGCAGGGTTAGTTCCAGCCACTGAGTTCAAGGGAAGCAAAACTTTAAGCTGTAAATAGGAACATAATTGTTGTATTTGCACTCTGAAACTCCAGACCTGTTGTGACGATTCTGCTGCTTTACGCACAATGTGCTGAATATAAGATGAGATGTTTGTGCAAGAAAAACCTGCTGCAGTTCCAGACAGCAAACCTTTCTTATTCCAATATGATTTGGGTATATGTTTATTGACTTCACTGGCTTTGAGTCAGGCCTCTGATTAATTTATATGTATTCACCAAGCCAGTAAATTTGATATGCCAACTTGGAAGCCCCTAAATTTTGCTTATAGTAACAGCAATAGTAAAAATAAAATCAGGAACTAAGTAACTCTTGCTGGTTGTGAGGATAACTTTCTGTAATATGTTTAATAATAATATTTTAATATTATAAAGATGTACTTTTCACTTTCTTTAAAAGTTACAAATTGCTTCTTGCTTTTTTTTTTTTTCATTAAAAAACTTCCTACACTTGTTCGGCACTTCAGTGACTGAACTTAGTTTGTTTCAATTCTCAAGTATAAATGTAGATTATGAAAGGGTTAGTTTTGGAACACTCTTCCCTAACTGGGAGGAAATAATGGCTGTGAGTGAAGTGTATTTTATGCAGAAAGTATCCTCTCAAGGAATTTACCTGCATCTCTCAGGTAACTTGCCTCTCTTGACTTTTTCAGGGTTTGCATTGTTTTGTGTCATCCAGAATAGAAATCTGCCTAACATTTAGATATAGCTTGTGCCTGTAAAAAAAAAAACAAATTGAAAACACAATCTGTAGAATCTTCCATCTTATCAAATGCCAAAAAAAGAGCAATATTTCCTTCCAGATCAGCAAAACTTGAAGCAAAAGATCAATCTCTGACTTTCTTAATTAAAAGTATATGTAAAAATACACATACTCACAGATATAGTAAAATTGGAGCCTGCGTTTCTTCCCTCTTGGTATTAAATTTCCAGTTTTTAACTGAGCTGGTACACTATCATAACTGCAGGAATTTTACTTACTTTTTGTATTTTTCGTTTGAAATATTTCCTTTCAAATCTGTATGTTTCTATCTTTATGTAGCGGTTCAAAGTGAAAGAAAGCCTTTTGATGTGCAACGTGAAAAACCAACCAACTGTGCAGCTTCGACTGAAAAAATCTATATAAGAAAAGATCTTCGAAGCCCTCTAATAGCAACTCCAACATTTGTGGCAGATAAAGATGGGACACGGTGAGTACCTCAGTTCCACGTATCTTCTTTCATGTCATTTGTGCATATTACTTTGCAGTCACACCTATATGCTTTCTCCCCTCTGCTCTTAGAGGGAACAGAAAAGAACTTTAATGCACACATCATCTGTTTCCATTACCAAGGCCAATGTAGGTTCTGCTTCTCATGAAAGTTTTTATGTCTGCATACAGGTATGTGGTTTTCAGTTCAGAGCTGGCTCTTGTCCAGCCAGGTCAGAGCAATGCAGAGCAACTGAATGATATTCAAGCAGAAAGCATGTAGGCTAATGCTGTGATACATTTGAGTTAGCATTTCTCTGAAATCAGATCTGCAAATGGCAGACTCAGGCTTTGTTCTCCTAAAGACACTAGTTAGGGAGACTCATTGACTGCTGATTCACATCCCAAATACTGATTTCAACAACAGCAAAACAGCAGCTTCCTTTTACTATATGGAAGATACTCCAAAGTGGTTACTGTACCTTGCTGCTGCAGCAATTCCTGCACTGTCAGGTGTCTCCTTAGGCAATGGGTGTGAAAATGCACATCATTACAAACAAAGGCAAGATTTATTTTTTTTTCTGAATAGAATTAAAAAAGTCTAGGTTATATATGACATTTTCAAAACTGTAGTTTATGAATGGTTGAGAACTACATAAAAAAATTGGATATTTTTATTCAGTTTTTATAAGGGAAGAAGTGTGTGTGTTTAATTTTTCATATACATATTCCTTGTTGAACAAATGACACTGCAGTTAGGAAGTTTGGGCTGCAGGTTTCTTGGAGAATTGTTTTTCAGTGTTCTTGTTTGAAAGAAGTACTCACAGAGACATTTGCTTCTTAAAAATTTCCTTGAGCTACAGATCCATTACAGACCTATAAACACTACTATAGTCATTGAGAACCACTCTGTTATTTATGTAGGATGTAGATTTGCATAATGCACGATAATTTGCTGCCTGTGCTTGTTCACAATGATAGCTGTGGGTCCTGTAGTGTAGGACCCCTTGTACTGTAATGTCCTGCAGCCTTGCACCTGTGTTGTGTGCATTGCTGTCATGTTACAGACACTTGGAGCATCACATAAGTAAACTTCTTGCTGACTGTAAAGACTTTCCACTGTCTCCCTAAATTGGATACAGGAGAGGGGGAGGATATTTGATCAAAAAACAGCAGAAGTAAAGGCAGCAGAGATTTTATGCAGGCTTTGATTATGTGACTGTTTCTGACTATATTTTGAAATATAAAAAATATTTTTATGACTTCTACTTAGTGCTGCCCGGTGTCTTGCTTGGAATACAGAGTTATGCCTTTCTCCTAAGTCTAATATAAAACTAAAGCTACCAGGTGACTTCTGAGAGCATGAGACGACAACAGCTTTCCTTAAAGCAGACCAAACCAGAACAAAAAGCAAATGAGAAGATATGCATTTAGGAAGTTCTTATTGTTGTTTTTGTACTGGAAATGATAAGATCTTTCAGTCTTTCTGTCTTTCAAGCTACTTTTTGAGAACTATTTCAGAAAGACTTAAGTCCTGTTAAATAAACTGTAAGCTTCACTAAATTGTTTATTTAAAAACTGGTAATTCCTTTTATGATCTCATGAGTTGTTACACATGCTTCTGATTAATGGAAAATACTGTTGATCATCAGATGCCTTACGCTTTTGAACAGGTCAGCCGGTCTTCTTGATCCAGGAATGCTCGTGAATATTCAGCAACCTCTGATCAGGGATGATGGTACAGTCCTTCTAGCTGCTGATTCCAAGGTATTACTGTCTCTCTTCAGTTCTGAGATATCTATTAATTTGTTCAGATTACTTTATCTATCTACTATATCTCAAACAATTGTTGCACATAGTCTCAAATAGTTGTTGCTCTTGAAAAGATAAGGTTGTGATAAGTGTGAAGAACTGTATGAATGGATATAATAAATTGATCAATAGGATTGTGGTTTCTTTTGGCAAGCATATTTCTGCAAAAGGTCACCTACAGTTAGTTCTCAATATGACGTCTCATCTGTGACTAGGACTGATAATTATCTTTAAATCCTATTTAAAGATAATTGTGAACCATTGTTCTTCCTGGCATTCAGGAAGAAGGAAAAGGTGCATAGGGGAAAAAGAACAAAAAGATTGAAAATGAGGGGGAAATTATACATATTAACTATAATTTTGATTTACTAATACAGTGCTTCCTTTTTAGGCTGAAACAAGCCAGGGTGCCTTAGGAACACTAGCAAATGTTGTAACATCTCTTGCTAATCTCAGTGAGTCACTAAATAATGGAGATACTTCTGAAGTTCAACAAGAAGAGCAATCTGCAAGTGAGATTACACGGTATGCCTTTATATTTACACCTTATTTAGTAATTTGTGTTCTATGTGGTGTATCCTTGTACTCATTCATTAAATTAATTTGCCATTGTTGCATGAGACACAGTATAGATTGCCAGACTGCCCCTACTTAGAAACAAAATACCAGCTCTTTAGAAATCAGTTTTGGCTCTTGTCCTCTTGTGAAGAACTGTGTCCTGTGTAACAAGTGTAGTGTTCTAACGCTAGACCAGATTTGGGTCTCAGAAAAATTAACAATTACTAGTTTGTGACCATGAAAGACTCTGAGAATAGCAACATTTCAGTGCCATTTTATTTCACAGATGTATTTTATGTAAGCTTCTCCTGTGCGATGCTTGTGCCCTAAGCCCTGCTCTTTAAGAGTCTGTATTACAGCAGATTTATTTTTGAGATTGTGCTGCCATAAAATCTCCTGGTAATGTAGATTTAGAAAGAGTTTGAAGTCTTTCTTTTCTTAATGAAAAATATATGAAAAAGGAGCATGGAATATTAAAATTTCCAGCACAGCTTGAGATTTGCAAGGCTGGGATTTTTTTGTTGGATGTTTTTGGTTGTGTTTTTTGTGTGGGGAAGCAGATTGGTTGAATTTAGCAGTATAGGTTAATAAGACAACATACTTGGACTCAAAATTGTCCACTGTTTCTCAAAAAGAAGATTTTTAGGAGGAGCTTAACTGTCGTGGTTTAAGAATGGTATTCTCCAATTTAAGTTCACACTTAAACTATGCTGCTACTTGCTCCCCCTCCGTCTCCAGTCAGAGGCACAAAAGGCAGAGGTCACAGGTTGAAATAGGAACAGTTTACTGGGAACAGCAATGAGACTAGCAAACAAACAGTAACAGCAAAATGAAACAGTAATAGCCACAACATTAATAACAAAAGGTATAAGAAAAATTATTTACACAGAAAAGCCCCTGACAGTAAAGAAATACCAGACCAGTCTGCCCACTACACTGACTGGAAAACACCTCTCTGGGGAGAGAGAGAGAGAAAGCACGAGAGCGAGAAGGACATTAATTAATGTCCATCTGGGCTGACTGGGTTTAAAGGAAGTATAATGGATAGTTCTACACATGAGAAAAACAAGATACTGTACCCAGAGAAAGCAGTCTTATTTAACAGAAATAAAGGAGCATTTTCTAAGTCTTTCATTTGAACTCTTCAAGTGAAGTGAATTAATATTTTAAAATACTTGACACTGCAATGTCAGCTTATGTCAACCTCTTACTCCTTCTTTAAAGCAGAAAAAAAAAATTATTAAAATACCTCTCCCAAAAAAACATCTTGACAAAAAATGGCAAAGAAGCACAATACCATAACAATGTCCACTGGTATGAAATTGGAACACAAAATTCTTCTTTACATTTAAGCTCTGTTAATCCAAAGAGAATTTACAGTGATCTCTTTGGGTAATGATCCAGCAACAGCTTGAGTATAAAGAAGACCAGGGACCAGTCTCTCTTGTGTTACTGTCATAAGGCTTTTAAGGCTCTATGTATACTGGGAGATCAGGATGCCTGCCTATATTTCATCTTAAGGGGAAGGAAATTCAGGCATATTGTCTAGAAGAAAACCACACTGTTCTCCATTGTTCCAAAAAGCCGGAGATCAAGGATGGGGACAAGGAGAGGGACTTTGTTCTTCAGAATACATCTGGTCTGTAATCCTCACCGAATCTGTGAGAAGGGGGAATAGTAAATGCTAAGTGCAAGAGGACTGTTGAGATTTATGCCCAGCAGACAACTAAGCCTCACACAGCTGCTCCCTCAGTCCAGTGAGACTGGTGATAGAATCAGAAGGGCAAAAGTGAGAAAACTTGTGGGTTGAGATAAAAACAGCTTAATAGGTGAAGCAAAAGCCACACACACAAGCAATGTAAAGAAATTAATTCACTACCTTCCATGGGCAGTCAGGGGTTCAGCAACCTCCAGGACAGCAGGGCTCCGGCACGTGCAACAGTTACTTCCAAAGACAAATACTACCACTTCAGATCCCCCCACTTCCTCTTTCTCCTCCCTTCTTTTTATAAGTGTGACATCACAAAGTATGGAATAATCCTTGTATCAGTTGGGGTCAGCTGTCCTGGATGTGTCAGATCCAAACTTCTTATGCACACCCAGCTTCCTCACTGGGGGGAGGACAAGAAGCAGAAAAGGCCTTTACACAGCGCAAGCACTGCTATGCATAACAAAAACATCTCTGTATTATCAACATTGTTTTCAATACTAATCCAAAATATAGCCCCATACTAGCTACAGTGAAGAAAATTAAGTCTATCCCAGCCACAACCAGTACAGCACAAGGCCCCTTTACTAGTACAAAACTAGGATAAAACTGTCAGAGCAAGATTTACAGTATGAAATTCTTCCCTTATAGAGGAGATCTTTTACCAGCAGTATGTGGCCACATCTGTTTGTTTTATTAATGCCCAAAGAGTACAGAGGGACAAAATTGTAATGAAACGTCTGACCTTCTGTCATCCTGAAGAGTTCTTGTGTATGTTGCCTCTAAGTGGAAATATTTTATAGCATTTAATTTGAGCACTGTGAAATTTTTAAGATCTAAGGAAGCACTCTTTCATTGTTTACTTATATTTTAGGGCATTTGATACTTTGGCTAAAGCACTTAATACCACAGATGGTACAACAGCTCATAACTTGGCAGATGGGATGGATCCTACAGGAGGAGGGAATATTCATGTAATCAGTAGAGATCAGTCAACACCAATTATTGAAGTGGAAGGACCCCTACTTACAGATACACATGTCACATTTAAGGTAGGTGCTTCTTTAAATGTCTGACTAAACAAACTAATGCTTAAGATGTATGAGCTCCTACATAATTTCTTGTCTCATATTCCCAATTTGCATTCCTTGCCAGTAGTAATGAGTTATTTAGTACAATTTTCCTTTGACAACTTCTTGTCGCACTGTTGATTGTGATGGACTATGAGAGTACTTTGAATGTTTTTGCTGGTTATTTCACCAATGATAAAAACTAGTTTATGTCTGAACTATATGTGTTGTACTGTACTTTTATTTTTTGCAGCTGACAATGCCCAGTCCGATGCCAGAGTACCTTAATGTACACTACATCTGTGAGTCAGCATCACGACTCCTTTTCCTCTCTATGCACTGGGCTAGGTCCATACCTGCGTTTCAAGCTCTTGGGTAAATGGACATACTCCGTTTGAATGGTTTGCTTTTGAATGAATTTAAGCACTCATCTGAATGCTTCCAGATATTTTGAACTTTTTAGTTACAATATTTTTTCATTTTTAATTAATATTTTAAAATGTGTGAAGATTATGCAATATTCCCTGTTTTGAAGAATAAAACAGAAGATGGCAGAAGGGAGAGTAACTACAATATCTGATGTTACTGTGGTTACATAAACTAAAGCCAAATCAAAAGCAAGCATTAATTTGTAGAAATTAAATGCTTGCTTGATACCTTACTAAAGAACTGATGAGCACCATTTCACAGATAACCCAAAATGGTTTCATAGTCTATAATTTCTTTTTGCTTCTTGAAATACTTGTAATATGCTAATATATGCCTGTTACCAAAAAGTTTTCCAACAGATTAATCCTTATTATGAATTGTTATACATAACATAATTATACATAGGGCAATACCAAGCTGATATGCAAACTACCTAGTGTTGTTTGATTTTCTGCTGTTTATAGGCAGGACTGTAATACGAGCCTTGTGCGTGCCTGCTGGAATGAACTGTTTACCTTAGGGCTGGCACAGTGTGCACAGGTGATGAGTCTGTCCACCATCCTGGGAGCAATTGTCAACCACCTCCAGAACAGCATACAAGAAGGTATGTTACCAGTGCTGCTAACAATACAGGGATGTTTGGATAACTTTGGCCAAAGGTGTTTCCCCATCAGTGGCTAAATTGTTCACCAGGAACCAGGAGAAGGTGAAGCTTTCTCTTGCATAATTATCTTTCCCCTGGTGATTGACAATTTTGTTGCACTGTCCTCACAGAGACATCCGTGGGATAGAAGTGTCCATAGAGGCAAGGCGGTCTTCTATGCCTGACTGATATTACAGAGAAAGTACATCCTAAAATACTCCTTGGATGTGCTCAGAGGGTTTTCTTCCCATCCAGATGTATGTTTTTTCCTCTTAGAATAATGATATCCTCTTCCAAACCACACCAGACTTTTTCCTTCAGGAACTTTCCTTCTCCTCTTTATGGTGTAAAAACACAGCATTTGCCAATTATCACAACAAGCATATTATTGCATGTATAATGGTTTTGGATACTACTGTAATGCAGTAATGATTAATGTATTTTGAAGTGCCCTTGAAGCATTAAGCAACCTCATTTCTTGACATTCTTAACAAGATGTATGTAATTTTATTTTTTAATTCAACATTGGTCTATTGATAATGATGATTATATCCTGAATGGATGAAAATCTGTTATATTTGCTTTTTTTTCATTCTTTAAAGACCTTCCAATCAATAGGATTCATTGGAATGAAAATAATATTTACTTTTAAAAGGAGGAAGAAAACAATGCTACCAGTTTTAAACTCTGCAAAGACAGCATAATACCTGAAAACTACTTTAAATTTACACGTCCGTTAAAAGCAGTTATAGAATACTATTGGGTACCATTTAAAAATACTTTTTTATGGTGTCATTATTTTGCACACAGAAAAAATTAGAAAATAGTTTTTTACTGAGGAGAGTAAAACAGATGTGTTTTTCCAGACCTGAAGGATATTAAATATTTTTCCAGCTGTCTTCTTTGTATATTTTATAGTTCTACAATCAAGCTTTAATCTACTTTATTAGCTTCATCATGATAAAGTAAATTAGACTGAAATTTGATTCTTTAATGGATATTATGCTTTAATTGCTTTCATAATGAATATAGAGTTGTTCCTTGTTTTGGTTTTGGGGGGTTTTTTGTTGGTTGGTTTTTGTTTGTTTTGGTTTGCTTTCTCATTTAAGAGAGCCTGGACAGTCCCAAAATACAACAGAGTGCTGCTTCTTTCCTGGAGTTGAAAAGATCAGTAGGGAAACCTGCATACTGGATGTTCTATGCAAAGTTAGGCTTTATATCTGTTTCACAATGCACAGAACTGTGTATTCCACCTTTGTTCCAAGCAGTGGAGAGGAGTAAATGGGAGGGCTGTTATAGCTGGTTCCACTTCTGTTCTTATGCATCAATGTTGAAAAAAAATATTTTTTTTCTAGAACCTCTACTTGCACTCATACTGCGTTAGCTGAAACCAGCTAATGAAAGAGGATCATTAGTGTTATTTATCTATTCTGCAAAGTTATCATGTTACATTTGTATTATACCTTCAAAATTCAAAACAAAGTAAAGAAATTTCAGAACTTTATTTATTAGTGACGAAGCTGCTTAGAAACTCTGGAATTCTAATTTTCTAAAATTGCTTTTCCTGAGTTTTTCTGGACCACATTTTCCCATTTAATACAGAAATAAAAACATTACATTATGTCTATCTTCATCCATCTCGAGTAACTAAAAATTTGTATCACAATTAATGATTTAAGAAATGTACATTATGCTTTCATTCTTATTTCAAGACTGTGAAAAAAATGGTTCTTCCATTCATTTAATCTTCTTATTGCAGTTCCAGAAAATAGATCAAATCATAATAAACTATGTCAAAGATTCTGTTTAAGCCACATGGAGTCTAAGCAATTCTATGCACTATAAGCTGTATAGAGAAAAATAAAATATTCAAATTAAAATTATTTGAAATACTAGCATTGGAGATTATGACTGGAATAAAATTCTTCTGATGTGTTTTTCAAGGAAAGGTTTTTATCCCTTGTAAACTGACTTCTGAAGTTTGATAATAGTAATTATATATTTTAAAAAAGTCTTAATGTATTCTCTAATGTTTTTATTCCTTGACTAGTTTTAGATATGGAGTCCAATATAAGGATTTCTATTTACCAAAATAGAAATCTCTCCCTTCCTAGGTTAGCAGCTAATACTACTCACTCGTAACAGATCTATAAATAAAATACATCTTTTAAATTGAAATTTTAAGATAGATTATGAACCCAATATAAGCAATGTGATCTTTCAAATGATGGAAGAATCTGTGTATGTGTATTTCAGTGCATTTACCCTATCAGATGGGAAAAAGACTATTTACCATAGCTAATGAAAAGTTCACTCCTAAAAGTATGGATAGAGGAGAAAGTAGCACTGTCATTACTGTTCTTGTATTCACTTTTGTAAAGGCTAATTCAATAATGTTTGAATTTAAAATTAGGGTAGCGCGTTAGTATTTGCTTTGTGCTTCTGTTCATTCCCAGAATCACTCTAGCCATTTTTAGAATAATGCAGCATCATTTCAGAATCTCTGCTTAGAACAGTACTTCACTGGAAACAGTTTGGTGTGGCAGATTATGCTGTCCTGGCGACAGGATAACATTCTGTTGCTAGAATGTTCTTAACATTGTTTGCTAGCTCCGGGTCTGTCTCAGACTTTAAAAATTCACTTTGCTTTCATAATAATTCAGGCCATCCTTATATGTTAAGTGGTTCCAAGACAGCAAAAGACTTGCAAATATCATTGACTTGGTTTATAAAACTTTATTTGTTAATATATTAGAAATGCTTGAGCTCAGATGAAATAGTAAGCAATATCTTTTTGTAGATAAACTTTCTGGCGACAGAATAAAGCAAGTCATGGAACACATCTGGAAACTTCAGGAGTTCTGTAACAGCATGGCCAAGCTTGATATTGATGGATATGAATATGCATACCTTAAAGCTATAGTCCTTTTTAGCCCTGGTAAGGAATTTAGTAATCATATCTTTCTAAATAATAAGTCTTAATATGCAAATTCTTTAGTATTTTTTAAATGAGACTAATGTCTTGAGATGAGACTCCTCATCTCAAGGAGGAGTTGTTGCAGATAAAATTATTGTTTCATAATGATTATCATAATATGTGTCTTAAAATAACTTCAGAGCAACATATCCGTGTTATTTACAGTTCAAATCCATCAGGTGTTTCCTGTATATCCATCCTAGAAGATTAGATTCTCAAGTTACCTTCAGCTGAGAATCTATGAGTAAAAAATTATCTGGAATGTGTGCTAGCAATATTAGCGAGGTAAATGGTGAGGGGGATTAGAAGAAATGCATTTTCTGAGTGACAAAAAGAAATTTGCTTCAATTTTAGTATTTTTAATATACTTATAAGAGGAATAGCTGAAATATAAGCAGAAATACCTATTGTATATGAAACTTCCACAAAATCTTGAAAACTGAATGTAAATAGGCTGTCTTCCATTTGTTACTAAAAAATGACAGCAGACAGCTAAAGCAGTTTCTGAAATATGAAAATTTACTCAAAGAAGACCCTTAAGATTTTCTGGAACGATAAAGAAACTAGAAGTGGCAGTCTTTTCAGCAAAGATGGAAATGTTTCAAGGACACACAAAGGTTAATCTAAAACTGCTGACAGGTTGAGTAAAAGGGAAGGTTTTGCTCAGAAATGCATATTATTTACTTTAATTCAAAGGTATTTACTACTTTGTATTTAATAGAATACAAAGTAAAAGGATATATTGCTATTGGTGTGTTTGCTTGGGGTTTTTTTGCATTCGTAACTATTTTTCTCTTTGTAATAAAAGTTAATTAGAAGATACTGGTGTCCTGAAATGTTCTTTTGAATTTTTGGGGGGAGATTGTCCCATTAGAGTTAGGTTTGTTAGGGGTTTTGAGTTGGAAAAGCAAGAAACTATCCAAACTCAAGGTAGCTCTTTCCTATTTCAAGGGACAAGCAGTTTGGACACATGAGTGAAGATATTTCGGCATACTAAGAGAGGTGATATTTTGTGGGTTTGCTTTTTTTTGCTCTGAGAACATGGCTGTCTGAGGAGCTGAGCTAGCTGGAATTAAAACATGAGACACACTTGAGAAGATAAAGACATTGATCTATCAAGAAAATAACCCTAGATACTGCTTAGCCAGCCTAGTTAGAACAAATCACAGAGGCAACCATTTAAACAGGCAAAGCTAAAAACAAATTCTATGTCATTGCCTGGTACACACATACAGGCTTAATCTTTGTCCACTTTCTTATGGATACACACAGCTCTAGAGAGAAAAGTGAACAAGCTAATTGTGAAGCCAGGAAGTAAATGTTTACCTTTATACAGCTAGCATGTTAAACATCACAATACCAGAGAAATATTTCATTGAAATTAAATGTGAGAGTCTTATAAATACATTTATTTCACAATGTATAGGGAAACTATCGACATACAGAAATGTTTTGTTTCTTTAGATCACCCTGGTCTGACCAGTTCAACCCAAATAGAAAAATTCCAGGAGAAGGCACAGATGGAATTGCAGGACTATGTACAAAAAACCTATCCAGAAGATACTTATAGGTATTTATCTCTAAAGTACCCAAAGTAATGTTGTGGGCTGTAGCTAACAGAAGTATGAAATAATGTCATTGATGATTTTGACATCCGGGGTTTGGGTTTTTTTCTGACTGTTGGTGAGAAAGAACTAAAACCCAATTCATAAAAGCAGGTTTGTTTAAAGATATATAGAAACAAGAATAGCTGTCTAGCTTCCTCCATGTAAATTAAATTTATTAGTACTATCTTGGCTTTTGAGGGGTTTGAGATTGTCATAGTCATGTTTCGAAAAGTAAACAGACAATTTTTTAGAAGTTTGGGGGATAACTGCTTCAACTGACTAATTCACACTGCTTCTTTTTTCAAGTTATTATTTTAAAGTCTCTTTGACAACTAAAAGGTGATTATCATCCTTGAAATGTTTTTAAGTTGCATATGCAGGAAAATGTTAAAACTGTCAGTTATAGCCCTTGGAAAAACAATGGCACATATAACAAGGAACAATAACCGTTTTTCAAACTTCTGTTTATAAGAAATTCCCACATCCTAGTTATTTTCTCCCCCGGGTTTAGTGGGTTTTTTTTTCATTTCCAAGGACTTCTCTGAAATTATTTAGCTTGGGTTTTTTTCACTTCTCAGCTCTTCTGTTTGTTATGTGCTAGAAACAATTACTGTATTTTCTAAGAATCTCCATCAAAACTCAAAATTCATCAACACAATGATTCTCTGCATTTTCAGGGAACTACTCACCTTTGTCTGTAAGATATACTAGAACATGCTGTTTTTTACTGTGAAAGGCATCCTCATGTAAAGAATAAATCCCATACACTTAAGCATTGTGTGGGGGTGGAGTAACTAAAAAGAAGAAAAAAAACCTGTCTGAAAAAGGAAGCTTCTCCCATCTATGTTTTCTGCCCTGATCTTGCAGAATTAACACTGTGGTGCAATGAAAATAGGATTGTCTGCCTCAGAAATATCCTCAAATCCCAAATTCTTCCATGTACAATGGAGCCTTCTGGTTTGATTAGTGAGAGCTGAATATCTACCATAAAACTAAATATAAAGTTTGTTCCATATACTTACTTCTCATAATAGTGTCTTGGGGAAGAAAATCAGAGTTACATTCCTCAAGCAGTGTCTTGTATTTTAACTAATAGTGTCTCTATCTCCATGCTCCCCTATAGACAAGTTTAGAGAACAAATCTGTTTATTTCTGAGCAACTGAGTGCTGGTAGAAATTAAGATAGGGGACAAGTGTTACAATTTTCATAAAAACAAGAGCATAGTTTCAATCTTTTTGCCCTAAAGTTTACAAGATATGGTATATTAGCAGGATGGACCTTAGATATTTTCTCCATAAATATTCAAGCATTTTCCAGAGCACCTGTGGTCAGTGCTACTCGAGGTTAGCTATTACGTGGCTCTGGTTCAGAAAATTTATTTGGTTTAGCATTTGTGATGCACATCTGCCATATGAATGGCAGCAAAATGCTTTCATCACTGTCCTAAATTTCATATTAATGGGAAGTCTAGCATTTCAATACGGTCACTTCATTGTATTGGATATCTGTTAACATCTTGGTAAATAAAACACCAGGGCAATTTGGGAATATTTATGCTTAACAGTACATTCCCCTAAATTCCTTTTCTCATTAGAAGCCAATTCTCTTTTTTCTGTTTATATACATCCAGCCCCCTTCCTGCTATCTCATGTGGCATGAAGTTGCTAGGCAACTGAGGACTATGCTGTTTATAGCTGAAATTTTAATTAAGCATTGTGCTCTTAAAATGGTGCAAATGTTCACACTAATCAACATAAATATCATTAGTCTCAGCATTGTTTGTCCAGAGCTGGGAATTTCAAAAGCAGGCCAAGAAAATTGTGTGTTTGTACGTACATGTTCCATCTACAAAGGGCATTAACATGTCCCTTTCATTGGAAAACTACAAAGCTACTTAGGTTTCATTTTGCTTGCAGGATAGAACAGCAACCATTCTTTTTGTGGTGTAGCCAAATTAGCTTTAATTGCCTCTTTACACCTATTCATGAATTATGGTAATTATAAACGCAGATCTAGCTCTTTAGCCATACAGTATCTTAAACTGGTCTTACATGTATTTGTAATCCACTGAACTTCTTTTTCAGGCTAGCCCGGATCCTAGTTCGCCTGCCAGCACTTAGGCTGATGAGCTCTAGCATCACTGAGGAACTGTTTTTCACAGGTCTCATTGGAAACGTTCCCATTGACAGCATAATCCCCTACATTCTCAAAATGGAAACAGCAGAATATAATGGACAAATAACTGGCACATCTGCATAGAGGGAACAATGTAATTTGAGGGATTGAAGTAATTTTCACAAAACCCGTATAATTATGAAGTTAAAAGAGTAGTGTTTCAGTATGTGCAGATAATACCAATTGTTATCAGCTTCCTGAGAGATTTCTCGTTGTCTTTTTTGATGTTGACAAAATTTAAAGTAGCTATTAAAAGACCTATTATAGGACCTTTCCTGCCACAAGGAATATTTTGGATGCCTTTCATTTAAAAGGCCATAGATTACTGAACATACTTTTCACATGCTTTGTATTTAGAAACTATCAGTGGTTAAAAAGAGTTTTATAATATCAGAGTAGTAATAAAATTACTTTAAAAGTAAAAGAACAGTATGTATATATTTAAAAATATCCTTGGAATGAATGTCTAGCAAATGCCAGGGTATAATTACTAGCACTTTGTAATCACTTCTTGTCAGAGCAACAGCATCATCAACATTCTGTTTATGAGTATGGAAAATGAAAAAAAATGGATATGTCCTTAGTCAAAATGCTAGCAATTTTTGTAAAAATGTAGAATGCTAAAGGAGACAATCATTTAATCTACAAAAAGTCACTTGCTGTTATGTTATGCATGAAATATTAATGTGGATTCTTAAATCAGATATCCACATTATAGGAAACTTTATCTGTTAAATTAGTGCAGTTGTAATACACGGTACAGTACAGTCATATTATGTGCTACAGGAATTCCCCACACTAAAGAAAAAAAGTGTTTGTCACAATAATGCTTAAATATGCAGGTTCCTTAAAGTGTTTATTCAGACAAACACAATCATGACAAACGTTATTCTAAGAGGCAGCCTTTTTACTTAGGGGAAAATCAGTCATTAACCGGAAGAGCAGTAAATTTCAAATAGAGCTGTGTGGTGCTCTTTGAGTATGCTCTTTGTATGCTGCAAATTTACTCCTCCTCTCTGTACTTTGAACACCCTCATAATGTAGCCACAGGGTACAATTTAAGACCTGAAATGCGTAGAACCTCTGGTTGTCAGCAAGAGTTTATTACAAAGCTCTCTCACTTTATTTCTCCTTCCCTCCCTCATGAAGCACTCCCGATTTTGCAGTGTTCTCAACTTTCCTGTCACTCACTTTGAAACCAAAATATAGTTAGGATTTACTTTCACTCATGTACAATTGCAGTTGATGACTGATGCACCATGGAGGTATAAAATGAACTACTTTTTAATTGTCTCGAGTGATGAGCCATCAATATGTCTGCTAGTAGTACTGGCCATTAGGTGCTAGCATAGGTTTCATTTTACTATAATTTACTGTTATGGCTGTTCAGTATTTTAAAATCAAAGATTTTTTTTAAGTCATAGCAATTAATACCTTCATCTACCTGATCCTGGCACATTAGATGCATTAATTATTTTAATTATGTGTGTGTTAGAGGCATTCTTACTTTAGTAGATTTATGTGACAAAACTTATCTAATGGTAAGTTCAGCACTTTGGTTTTTCTTCTGTTATTGATATTTATTTAGAAACATCAACTAGGTTGGTGTTTGTGACTTTTCAGAGTCTGAATTGTAGCCAAAAGACCTTAAGCAGCTTTAGATGAGGCTTCTAAAGTAACAAAAAGAACTTGTATACTTCATGTTTGTTAGGAGGCTGATATTTGTAGCACTTACTGTTACACAAAAGACTATTTAATTTCAGCTTCTGGATGATTTAGTCTTCTATAGTTACTATTTTTAGCACATTCAGAATCTTCTTTTCTCACAAGAGTATTACTGAGTTCCAGTAATGCAGAGATTTGTAATACAGCACTTGTATCTGTCTCAACTTTTGCTATAGCAAATGAAATTGTCATATTGTTCATGCGATGGAAAGTCTGCTCTCTACACGTGAAGTCAGCTGGACTTCAGCTTTTAGTACCAACCATTTGACTGTAGTGCAACTGCTGTGGGATTGTGTCAGCACTTCTGCTGCAGAGTCATTATGTTAAGGGTATATAACTTAAAAATTAAAAGTGATTAATCAGAAACAGTAGCTACCTTGGAAGAAGTAGTCGCTGCTTTTGTTAAAATTTAAAATTTCACTTCTACAAGAAGAATGCATTGAAATATTTTGATTTTTTTAATTGCCAAAAGGATTACAGAACTTCATTTTCTTTCAGAATTTAATAAAAATTATTTAAGCAGATAAGAAGGCATTTTAATGGTAAATTAAATGGTCCTTAGCACAAAAACTAGCCATTGGAAAATTTGGTTTTAAATCTCAATACACACCAGCTAGTTTTTTCTTGACAAACATCATTTCAACTTCCAATTTTTCAAGTAAAAGTGCCCCATTTTCTGTGTGAAAATTTGTTTGTAATTTTTATTACTTGTGATAATAACAATTCAGAAAAGAAAGGCATTTTAGTTTTTGGGGAACAAAATGATCACACGAAATAAAATGTAAAATGTGTGCCTTGCATTACATATGTAAATCGAAACAATGAATATCATGCAGTTCTGTTTACAAATAAACTACACTCCCCACAAATGCAAGGCCACATAATTATATCCTTGCTCAAACCCTGCTAGTTACTTACTCTGCAAATAGTTATTAAATAGCTTATTAGGGATAAAATATTAGTTTTTGTAAACTAAGTAATAACCATGCAATCCATAGTTGTGCATGCATTTAATAGATGAAATGGAGCAGTTCCATCCTTAAGATTTGGATATTACCACCTAAAAGCTACAAAGTCCCTCTGTGCAGCATCATTAGCGTGATTTGCTGGCTTGCAGAGGTCAGAAACAAGCTACTTAGTTCTGATGCCATTAATAAAAAGTACTCTTTCTAACTATACACTACTTTGATTCCAAGACTAACATTTTGGATTGTAGAAATTTGAACTTATGTGTGTGCCTTTTCCTACCCAGGAAAAGGACTTTGTGCTTCCCCTCTTGCTTCCCCTTGGCCCATTTCTCCCCATAACAATCTGTCTCAGTGGCAGCAGGATGCTGTGATACATACAGTGCAGCTGCACAATCAAGCAAGCTTTGCACGGTCTCTGCTGAAAATAATACTGCAACACTGACATAGTTCTTCAAATTTCTGAGGTTTGTTCCATCCCTCCTACAGTGACTGGAAGATGGTAACAGGCTAATCTTATTAGCTTTACTGTTAAATTAGTTTTGGTTATTTTTCTCCTTGGAAAGTGCAAACTTTTCCTTATGAATATGGGACAGGAGAGTTTTTTAATATTGTAACAATTATTGAAGAACTATTTCTTGAGTATTAAATATAGAAATAGCTTGTTTTCATAAAGGTGAAATTTAAATGCCAAACTTGTTTTCACAAGAAGTTGGAGTCAAACTATCACAGTCACAAAGTGATTCTAGGAAAAGTTCATCTCACTGAAGCTCTACTTAGTGCCAAAATTTATTCTCTTCAGAAGTTTTGAGGTTGTATTTCTGCTGCTCTTCAAATGAAAATATTTTAACTTGGCAGAAATACAGTAATGAATTATCTGATTAGATTTATCTGAACCTGAGCAAATGTGTATACTCGTCATAATTCAGTTAGACAAATGTTAGAACTCTTTGGTGAGACCGGGGCATGATAAGGAGGCAATGTTGGGAATGATAATGAGGCAGTAATGTCCACTGTGCTTCATTTGTTTTCCAACTCTTTTGCAAAGGAACTGGATTTCAGTCTTGTAGATAAAAAGCATTTGGGACTAGCTTTGTCATAATGATTTTAATTACATTTTTGACAAATGTAGGAAGGTATACTCTTTTCTTCCTTTTATTTACTTACATTGGACTGTAGAGTCAGAACTAATACCATGTGCAAAAGTAATCTTTCTCAGCCTATTTACATTGCTTATAAATTGTCTGCAATGCTTTTGGTGTCTGTGGAGTTACTCTGGCATGAAACTGGTAGAGGAGAAAAAAGTTATCTCCAAGGAGAGATCCTTCTAAGAAGTCATACAAGACTTTCTTTTAGCTGCCTTAAAATGTTAGATCATTTAGAAGGCTTAGTTTTCAGAGCACACTGCAGCTAGAAACTATTGTTGCTCTCCACTGATTAGCTGGCGTCATTTGCCAAGCCTCCTTTCACCATCTTCTGAAGCCCGTGGCCCCCAGAAAGCCATGATGCCTCTGGTGAGGAGCTCTGGTTCCAGTGTGTGCAGAATCCAGCAGCTCCGCATCACCATTACAGTTCCCTTTGGCAAAGGGCAAATTCTGAGGCTGCCATAGAGAAACCAAGTCAGGGCTGAAGCTCCCAGGTGAAATCAGTTTCGTGACTCTTGTTTCTCCTTTGGCAGAGACTGTAAAACACTTGTGTGGTTTTTTTACTGTTCTGTATAGTACACAGAACTCACAGAGTCCTGAATTACTTCATTCAGGATACTGCAGGTGTCAGTAGGTTTTCCTGGCCATTAAAGTTCAGACAGTAGTTAGGATTCTTTCTTGATTACCTGTTGTTTAATTAGTAAAATACAATAATAAAATAAAAAAATTAGCACCAAATAGCATGACTAGCACAGGGTTTCAGGAATGCAGTTTAACCAGGAAGACAGAACTGGAAATGAATGGGCTGCTCAAGCAGTGACAAAGCAGCTTCCTGCACTAGCAGCACCAGTCAGGGCCCTGTTTGAATCAGGAGAAGTGAGCAGTAAAATTGGCAGGTCAGTCAGACAGGTGTACCAGCACACATCTACTGGATGATACCATCCTGGAAAGACCAAAAATGTTGATTTTCTATTTGAGATCCCTCTCTTCCTCCCCTGTTACTCTTAATAGTGCAAAACCAGGTGTTTTTTTCACCTACTCTTGTCCATAAGAGGAAAAGCATAAATCCCAGAAAACACAGGCAGATGCCCACCTGTTCCCAGGGTTTGCCACACTAGCTATACAGCAGAGTTTTTGCAGTAGATGGCTTTGGTGATAAGCATGGGCCAGCTGACAACAGCACACAACAGTCTGCAGTCCTAACGCTTCCCAACATCCAGCAGGGATCAGCGAAATGAGGGCATGGTCACCCTAGAGAGGAAAGTGAGGGGCAGAGGAAGGACAAATTGCCAGCATCTACTGGATCTTAAATGACAGGAAATTAGTGTAGAAACAGCTTTATATGAAAAATTACCAAGAGGGGATGGCAAAGGAGAGCAAATGAAGGCATTTACTTTTTGCACCTTTTCATTCTAAAGTTGCTGAGTCATTTTAACAGTAAATACTCCTGAATTAAGTTCAGGCTTATTGTTTGATGCCATTAGCCCATCTTGTTAGATAATGCTACAAGCCTACTTCAGGTGCAATCAGTGTTATCAACATATGGGAAATTATTTGTGAAAAAAAAAATTACAACATTATTTATAGTGGGGTTACAAGATAAAGTAAAATTCTTTGTAAAGTTTAGATGCTTTAAGCATCTGAAGTTTAGATGTTTTTATTGTGAAGTCATGCTAAGTTCATCACAGGTAGTACTGTTGTAATGTTCCATTAATGCCCACAGTCTGTTCAGTCCTCTTTGTTACATGAATGCTTTGAAAATGGCTTATTATTGTTAAATTCCTGCCTTTCTTTTTAAGGGGTTTGATAGAGTTGTACATGTCTATTTTGTGCCTCCCACCGTTGTGCATTTCTGCATGTTCAGTTCTAGAACTCACTCGAGCAGATGATGCATATGTAAATAGCTGTATGTATGTATGCGTGTATGAATGTATATGCTTATACCTCTCTGTCTAAATATTTTCTGTACAGTGTATAGGAAATGTGTAGTGTATGTATATATGTACAGATATGGAGACATTATTCATCTATTATGTGCTAAAATTTTTTATTCATTTGCTAAACCATAGCTTCCTAATTTGGTGAATCCTCACAAATTTCAGAGCTTTGCACCTTTTTTCTAAACCAGTCTGAATTCACTATTTGCTGTTCAGAACTGACAAATATATTCCATTAATTTTCTGGCTTTTACATTACTCTCTTTACCTTTTCTCATTTGACCTATAGAGGTCTGCAAGTCAATAGTTAATTGAGCATATAAAGCCTTTTTAAAATAAGGAATAAATAACTATAGTCATAGAAAATGCTTCCCTGCTCATTATATACTCATTCTCTTCCAAGCCCTCCTGAGATACTTTTGTAAAGTTGTATTTTTTGTGAAGCTTGGTAAGAGACTGATTTTTTGGTTTTAAGTCTTCATCTGTGGCTAATTGAAAGTAAACCAAGTTGCCATTTATCACTGAACTGCAGCACACAGAAGAGGAGGTAATGGATGGTGTTTAAGAAGTCAATAGTCATATTGTCATAGTGATCTCATGAAACCAAGCTGTGAGATAGAGACTGTGTGCTCTGGTCAGTGAAAAAGCAGCTCTGGTACAATTAAATAGTAGGGACATTGCAGGTAGTTTATTTCTTGGCAAGTATCAAGACATCTTCAGGATTTTCACAATGCATTTCAATTGTATATTCACTTTCCAAAGTTTTTTATTTTGCAGCCTAAACTGAACACAGCTAGTTTCTTAATTTAGTTGTCAGACTATGTCCCTTGCCACATTCTGTCCTCTCCTGGGTCTGCAATCTGTGCAGCCCCTGCACTGCCTGTGACAGACCCACTCCATGTGGGACATGGACACACAGTTGGGAAATGAGATGCGAAGTAAGACCATTTCTTATTCATAATGAGGACTCAAACATTTACATTATCAAAGCTTGTTCTTCTTCTCTTTTGATGAAGCTAAAAAGGAAGCCTTCCATAAAGTAAATCTGTTAACTGTGAGTTTTTTAAAAAAAGCATTTCACGGACCATGCAGGACAGTAGTTCAGCAAGTCTTGTTTCTGTCATTAAAAAGGTGAAATAGAATTTTATGGGCATTTATTTCCACCTTCTGTGCTCACTGTGGCGAAGACTTGTGTATGTTTAATCCAATGAAATGACACTAATCAAAATAACATTAACTTTGTGCATTAATTAAGTGAACCACAAGTCTGAGGGAATTTTGGAAAGTTTGCTTTGGAAAATGCTGAGAATGTTCTATTTCTTGGTGTATTGGTTAGCGAGCATTTGTAAGCTTTTATTTCAAATATAGGAATAAATCTGTAGCATTTCAAACCCTTATTTCTACGATTTTCAGCACGAAAAATGTGTAAATTAACGTCAGGAATTTCTGTGACAGATGTTCCTTCCTTGGTGTCTGGACAATTGGTGGTGTTTGAATGCTTGCTTTTCTCTTTAAAGCTGAATAGTTATTAAGGTCACTGTTCTGCAGGAACAGTTTTAAAGTTTAGGAAGCCAATTGGGGCATTAATGCAAGATTGAATCTGTTTAAAAACTCAACTGTCAATTCAGGAAAAAAAAAAAGAAAAGGCAAAGTTCAGTGAAACCAAATGTGTTATATCCACATTTGAATTGTTTGTATTCTGAAGGACAAAATGTGCTCAAATTTAATGGCAATAAAGGCTCTGCAATAATACAACACAGGTCCACTTTATGGTATTTTCATGATTGTGGGTTAAAGCAGGACTAAGTAAATTTAAAACAAAAAGCACAGTCTTTAAGAAGAAAACATATTACTTACAGACTGTAAATGTTAAATTTTCCATATATGGAATCAAGATCAAATGTTCAAGTATTTTTAATAATTAATATGTACTCCGAAATACACTGGAAGCCAGTGTTCATAGTTTCCTAACTGAAAACTGCACAGTTGTATCTGTATTGGCATACTAGGGAATGCTGAGCTCCTAAAAAACAGCAAATTTTTATAGAAGGAAGCATTTACTTTCAGTTCCTTGGGATATTTTCTGGAAGTCTGTATTCCTTTATTCCTTATAATTTAGAAAACGATTGTTTATTTTAAAACTGCAAAAGTTTTTCATTTATCACAGCTTCTTTTGTGAAATCAGTATTATTGTGTGTGATAGCATTTAAAAACAATAGCATGGGGTTTTTTTAAACTAAATTTTATATCCAAGCAATGTCTTCAGTCACAAAGAGGAATTTGCATTGTTGTGTTTGTATATAGAGTATTGCAGTGCATGATTTAGCTTATGCATTTTATTAAATGCTGTTGTGATATTATATTGTTGCGGTTAATACTAGTAGCTAAATGAGGTTTCTACCATTAAAGTGAATTACAAATATAACTGCATTCTTGAGTTTTATTTTGAAGTTGATTTAAGTTTCTCTTGAACAGGAGCTCTCTAAGCCAAATACATAATTTAGTATCTTTTAGGGAGAAACAGCAATTTGCTTTCACCACAGTGATTATCTTAGGAGATTTAACCGGGTCTGGTATAGAAAAGAAATCTCATTAACTTACTGACTCCAAGGAACTTCTCTAGGAGGAGAGAGGGCTTTTCCTAAGGTTCTAATTCATCGTGAACACAAAAGCTTTGAGTACCCCGGAAGTTGTCGCTGCGGTGCGCGGGACCCGCCGCGCCCCTCACGGCCCGCGCGCCCCTCGCGCCGCCGGGCCCTGGCACAGCGCGCGCCCTCCGCGGGTACTGCCGGGGACGGGATAGGCGGGGCGGCGGAGCCTCCGCCAGGGGGCGCGCGGGAGCGCTGCCTCCCCTTCCGGCCGCCGCCGCGATGCCGATGAAGGGCCGCTTCCCGGTGCGCCGGACCCTGCAGTACCTCAGCCAGGGCGACGTCGTGTTCAAGAGCTCGGTGAAGGTGATGACCGTGAACTACAACACGGCTGGAGAACTGAGCGAAGGCGCAAGGTGAGTGCGGGGGGCGGCGGGAGCGCGGGGTGCCCCTGCAAAGACACCAGGGCTTGCACGGGCCGCTCCCTCCACAGCGACAACGGGCCAGCCGTTGTGTGCTTTTCTCTTTCCTTCCAGAAAGTTCGTGTTTTTCAACATCCCCCAGATCCAGTACAAGAACCCCTGGGTGCAGATCATGCTGTTCAGGAACATGACTCCCTCGCCCTTTCTTCGCTTCTACCTGGGTAGGTGGCGCCGGCCGCGGGGACCGCAGGAGCCGCGCAGTAGTGGCTGGGTCGCGCCGCAGCGTGGTGACCGCCGCGCCTGGGCCCTTCTCCCTCGGCTGCTTGAGCGGAATAGAGCTTCAGCCGTTAGCAGCTCCCCATGACTCACCCTCATGGAGATTTTGCTTTTCCACTTGAAATATTACATTACACATTAACCGCAGGAGGAAGTAGATCCTTCATTCCTGTGCGTGTAAAAGCCTCTCGAAATGGCATACAGGAGGAAGTGGTATCATTTGATACACTATTATGAATTTTTCTTGACAGACAGTGGAGAACAAGTTTTGGTAGACGTGGAAGATAAAACCAACAAAGAGATAACAGAGCACATTAAAAAAATCCTGGGGAAAAGCAAGTAAGTAGCATGCAGTAAGCTAATACATCATCTAGCATAGATATTACAAACTTTTGTGGAATACAGAAGGAAATACTACTTTTCCTGGATAAAACTGACACAAGCAAGATAAAGTCCACAAGGTAGGAACTGTAACTCCATCTTTCTAATAACCTGGGTCCAGGGAAGGGAGAGGAAATATTGCAAGTCAGACTTCTGATAGTAACAAACAGATCTCTTTTCTAGAGAAATGCTTGAAAAAGAAGAAAGAGAAAGGAAAAAACTATCACATCCAGCAACCTTCGGGCCCAAGAAGTATCATCTGCGAGAATGCATGTGTGAGATTGAAGGCCAAGTTCCCTGTCCTGCTTTTGTACCATTGCCCAAAGAGATGAGGGGAAAATACAAAGGTGCCATGAAAAATGAGGCATGAGCCTGACATTTCAAGATCTCAAGTCATGGAGCTATTTTGCCTCAGGACTGGACAATGAAGGTGCTTCAGTGAGAGACAAGAGGCAGCAGTTCCTGGGAACAGGAACAAGCAAGTTCATTCAATACAGAGAACTCTGCGTCATAAGCCTTCTTACAACTACAACTAGAATTATTAAGTGAAAAATAAATAAAAGTTAAAACTGGCACAAAAAAAAGCTGTGGTTCTACGAAGTACTGCAGGTCATTACTGGAAAACAAAATTAATAGTCTTATTTCTTATTCATGCCTGCAGGTAGTCAATTATGGCAAAACTAAGATCATGTTTTCTTTGGGGTAGAGTGGCTAGACTAAAAAGTTAAATCTTAAAAGTAGCACAGAATTCCATAATTTGTAGAAAGTGGTGCAAAAGTCCATATTGTACCAACTAATGACAGACAAATGATAATATAACTCCAGTCTCAATTGAACTTTCCTAATTTATGTAGTTATGAATCAGAAACAGTTCAGAGTCTCATTTCCAGGAAGATACAACTTTTGCAGTTGATACTGCAGCTCTGAGAAGCACTGATCAAGTCAGCAGTATCAGCAGGAAAGGAGAATGGGAAAATTGGTGTATAAAAGGCAAGTTTTACAATTACCAAAAAAACCCTTTCTGAATCATTACAGTTTCTGCCTCACCAATTACACCATCCCTGTAATATGTATAAACATGATAGATTGTACTCTACTCTACAGACCTTTACATCAGTCTTATATGTACAAGTCACTGTAGAACTGTATTGCAGCATTTCTGAATTAGTTGAATACAAAATTTCACACTGATGCAAGCATCCTGTACAAATTGCCAAGAACAAACACAACACAAAATAAACACGTTGTTTTATTTCATCTCTTTTTACAAAGTTTTCATACGGAGTAGTGCATGCAGTTGTAACAAAAGTCAATGCTTATTAGTTATTGAGCTTTATGCTTAACTCATCTTCATTCCCTTGTGCCTTGCAAGCCACACAGCAGTCCCTATACCAGCAAAGGTCTTCACATTAGAGGTGAAGACCATTCTTATTAGGTGTCTAGTCTATCACAGTTAACACTGACAAAGATCATGAGGTATCCTAGTCTGTTACCTGCTTGTAAAAATAATGTATTACATATACAATAAGAATACTTCAGGTATTAGTGTATTAGCCAGAAAATATAAACAAGGCAGGATAGTTGCAACCAGGATAAAACCACTTTTTATTGAGAAAGCTGTAGCCACTGAAACAGTTTTTCATGTTGATACCTAAAAAAGCATTAGGTTATAGTGCAGGATGCAATCCTCCTGACTAGCAACCAAGACCATCCTAAATAAGTGCCTTTTACTATCTCTTAGATAATTCCAGGGATTCTGTTTAGCTATCAACAATTTTTGCTGCCTTCACGAATCTGGTGCTAAGCACCTATGTTCTGTCAAGACCTTTAAGAATCCTGTGTTCTTCTACTTGGTGCAAAATAAAACTTGGGGACTAAATCAGCTCTAAGAAAACATCAGTATAAGAACTTCATGGTCTTAAGCCAACCTCTGCTACACACCTTTTAAACCCAGAATTAGGCTACACCAGACAGACCATCAGGCATCCTTGACTGGCTGGTCTGAGTTACTTCAACCCCTTGCTAGTTGTATTAAGTGAGGATATAGATGGTTTGGTCTTTTTAAACAACAGTTCCACAAGTCCCTACCTCCATTTACTCACAGCTAGGAACCAGAGTTCCTGCTCTTTAGGTAACAGAGTTACTTGTCTCTAAAATCTTACGCAGTGTTGGGGTTACAACTATGCCAATATCAGAGACATGATTAAAAGATATGTCCCATTCCACAGAACTTCACGCTTCTGAGTAAGGCCACTATTGTTAGTGCTATACAGTGTGATCTGCCTGATTTTCCTCTATTTCAGTTCTAAATAAACCCTTCAAGATTACCTCACCACCACCACTCCTGCAAACAGTGATTCCTGCTGATGGGTCTGTGCCTCTCAAAGATAAAAATCAAAGCAGTTAGATTCCATCTTTCTCAAAAACCCTGCATTTGCCCAGCTGTAGGTCCTCCTGCATCACAGGTACTGGTTGTCACCAGATCATCCCTCAGGCCACAGGATAACAAGAGGTCTGCAATCTGAAGTTCCTCATTTAAAATAGGTATGCCTCATTTTCATAAAAACTGAGGGGAATGTAACATGAGAGAGAATTGCCATTTGGCACTATTGCAGCCAGACTTTGTCTCCCAGCTTTCACAAAATTCCAGTGGCATCTCAGCTTTCCATTATAAAGAAAATTTTTTGTTGCTTGGGTGCTACAAAATACTCCACTCTCACAAATATAACAAACATGATCATTCTGTCACCCAGAGGATTTAAAGGAATGTGTAGATTCCATAATGTAATAAGCAATTGGAGGTTCACCCTTTTTATTACAGATAGAAGTGTTGCTGGCCTGATGCTCCTTTCCCTGGAAATAAGCAAATGCTTGCTCCCTCATGAGCAGGCCTGAAGCCAGCATGATGCTACAACACCATCATTTTCGCTCAGAGCAAATGGGAAACCAGAAGTGATGAAGCATCCAAATTTTACTTGGGAATCTTTATACAGATACTAAAAAGTTACTCATACTAAGATCAGTTAGAAAGTTTTTCTCAGTCTTAAGATCCCTTTTATGTATTGATTAGCACTGCATAAACTTGATCTGTGAGTCTGTACAGTCAGCACCCAGAGCATCACAGTAGCTCTATAACAACACATTGCCAGAACACCCTTAGCAGTTCAACTATCCTGGGTCAGGAGAAGATGAAGAAGTTTTAGAAAAGTTTTCATCTCTTTTTAGTCAAAGCCACACGTGAAAGGCCAACACTACAGCAGAAAGCAGGAAAGAGGGCAAACCAATATTCCAACCACTTCCACATCATAGTTCCCTATTACCACTTAACCCCTGGACCAAAATAAGCATTCAGTAAGACCAGTTAGCATTAAAAAGTGCTGTAAAAAGTTATTTTAAAATTTCTTACTCTAAGTTTTTGAGACCAGCAGCATTCCTCAGTGATTCTTTCTTCAAGACTGCGTAGTAGTGGCTATGTCTAAATGAAAGTGCTTTAAAGTCAGGATTTTCCCAATTCCCTCTTGTGATCTGTACTCCTGTCTGTAAGTATCTGCTTTACTTTCCCATATTTAACAGCAGACTGAATTATTACACAACCCTATTGCTGCTTCAGCAGTTAGATTTCTCCTTCTGCTTTGCTAAAGTGTGTTTCAGTTCCTTTAAGTTCTCTGTCAGTACCTCCACCTCATCCAGTCGTCCACTATGTTTGGCATCAAATATATAAGCTTTAATATTATCTATCTGTTGGAGAAGCAGCTCTTCCTCTATAGCCTCCTCCCCAGAGATCTCACTGCCATCCTCCACTTCAAAGGGATTGATAGAGGATCCCTCTTCAAATGGATTCCCTGAATTCCAACTGCCCCCAGGCTTTTCAAATGGATTTTCGTCCTCTTCAAAGGGGTTTGAAGTACTGCCAGGTGCTCCATTACTTTGTTCATCCTCCTCCTCACTTTCAAATGGATTATATTCTTTTTTATCACTTTGCTGAGCTGTGTTAGAGAAAGAAACCACTGGAGAGGTGTCTTTGGCAAATGGATTAGCAGGATCTTCTACTTGAGGGGTATCTGCTTCATCCTCAAAGGGGTTTAGACAGGCTGGCTGATCACGGTCTTTGTCACACTGTGGGACATTCTGGGGTTTGAGTGTGAAGGTCGAGTGCTCTTTTGCTGGCAGCTGCTCAACAGGAGTTTCAAAACTTGTGTCCCCTTTGATCCAAGTAACATCCAAATGCTGTTTGACTTCTCTGAAGTCTAAGGAGCGTGTCCTTGAATGCTGAGACATGAATTTATGGTGCTCTCTTTCCCACTCTTTTTCACGAAGGACCTGAAGTTCCTCCCTCTGTATCTCCTCCTCTTCTGCTTGTTTTTTAGAAAGCTCAATAGCTTTCAGAGTTTGTTGTTGATCATATTCATCCTGAAGCTGCATCAGGTTCTCTTGCAACGTATGGACCTCATCTATCCTATTAGCTGCCTTTGCTTGCTTAATAAAGGATGTGATATTGTCAATCTGCTGAAGAAGTGGGTCTGCTCTCTCGCTCTCTCTCGAAATGCTAGATGTGGGCAACCAGCCTTCAGATTTTTTGACTGTTCCTTTTTTTATGTGAGTTTCATCACCATTAACTGCAGATGCAGATACAGAGATAAACTCCTTCTGCTTTTCCTCTTGTCTTCCCTGTGCTTCAAGAGCAACCTAAACCAAAAAACATGTAGTAATAAAACACTGCAAGCTTGAAAAATTTCATTCTAAATATCCATAGATACAAGTTAGCCGATCTTAAGACATTGTTGGCTGACGCTTAAAGGGATCAGCTGCCATTTTGGTTACTCTGCAGAAGATTCTTACTTTCATACCACATGTTTCCCTTGAGTTTGTGATGATACTGATGAAAAACTCATGACATCTGCCTCTACAAACCTGAGGGAAACTAGGAGCAACAATTCTCTTTATAGAGGAAAAAAAAAAGCCTAATGCAGCTGTGCAAAGAGTGGTCTAGATTGATCTGGACATCAATCATATCACATAGAACATCAGTTTTTAAGGTCACTGAATCACTGGCTTTTGGAGTGGGATTATTCTAATTTCTCAACTTATACTTCAAGATGAAGTTGGCTTTAGTTTATAATTAAAGATATCCTCCCTCCTAAAGGAAAAAAAGCCTCTCTCCCTGCAGAGGCATCCTTATTCTAGTATGTTCTTTTCCACCAACAAAAGAATTTTCCAAATTCTACTTATGTGAGTGAATTCCTGAACACAATTTCGAAGTCAGTATAAACTAACACACTAACTTCAGAGCTTGCTCTGCACGCACTGCAGCAGAAACAGCCCATGCACCCAACTCCCTGCTGCTTCCTAGAAGTGTCCACCTTTGTGCCCACCTACTTCTGTTCTGGGCAGAACAAAGCAGCAGCTAGGCAAATCCCTGATAAAGGGGATGGGACAATATGCATGAAAAAATAAAAAACTGAAATCCAGTGTTGAAGGCGGCGACTCATATCCCCACACAGCTCCCAGGCTTGTATCTAAGAGAAAGCCTGAAACAAGATGTAACAGATCCCAACCTGTCTTACCATATTCAGTCTTCTCTTCTTCAGTTCTTCATACTGATCCTTAGTTGGCAGGGACATTAGGCCAAGCAGTTTTTCCTGGCAAAAATTGAAATATTTACAGCATTGCTTGCAGGTATTCAGCCCATTTTTCAAGTCCTTGAGAAGAGAGATACTACCAGCAGAAACCCCACAAACACATCAAAGATGCTTCTACACTGCAGTCCCTGCTGCAGGTCTCCACACATCTCTGCTGCCACACCTGCACTGCTGTGTGGGCTCATACCTCAGCAAGAGGAAGAGCCAAGGCACCTCTTGGGTTCCCCAGGCGCAATGCTACTCTGAGTGAAAAATCTGTGTTCAAGACAGCTTATTTAAGACAGTCATTAGGAGAACTACAGAAAATGCAGAAAATGTATAGAACTAAGGCCCCTGTCAAAATAGTTTCAAACCACAGGGATGCCTGGCAAAGAAGAGAACACAATCTAAAATGTACATTCATCTCACAGCATATGCTCTATTCACCTGAACAAAAAGTGTAGCTGAGTATCTTATCATTCGCTGAAGTTGTAGTATTTTAGGATGAGGTTGAGGATCTTCGTGCAAGCCTAGACTCAAAATCTTCTTACTGAATCAAAGAAAACATACAGCTTCATCAGTTCAAAAACAAAATCAGGAAAAATGCCACAAAAGTGGAGAGACAATATTGGATCAAAAACTTCTGATGTTCTTTTAGATAAACAGTTTTGGATATTACAATTTGCAACACTTTCCACTCTCAGCCTTAGAAAAACAAAAAAACCAAAACAAACAATTCCTTTCCCCTCAATGGTGCTGCTACTTGTTTCCTCTATGCTTATTCTTCCCAAAGAGAAATGCATGAATTTTAAGGCTGGAGAAGAAGTAGAAATCAGTGGTGTACAGGAACAGCATCTACCTTTTCAAATGCTCTTTACAACTGAGCAGATATATTGATCATCCATATAATCATTTAAGTCATAACAGAGATACATACATGCTGGGGGGAAAAGGGAGAGAGACAATCTTTTACCTTAACGCATCTATAAATTCATACATTTTTTGAATCTCCACCCTCAAGTCATTAGCATGATCAAGGTTGTAGGCTGACTCCCCAGCACTAAAGAATAAACAGAACTTTACTGTAAGTCATGCATCCAGTTAACAACATGTACAACACTACTAGTTATCCAAGATGACCAAGATTCAACAATGATAAGAACTGCTAACACTAAAGGGCTGAATAATTTTATTTCAAGCTCATGTTTAAAAAAACTTTTTTTTTGTGACAAAAGTGGAAAATTATAATAATTTTGCAAACATAAACACTTCATAGAAGATAACTGTATTTATGATTAAACGCAATTATTTAATAATATATAAAAAATTATTATTATTTATATATTATTACTTACTACTCTAGGAGAAACTGTATTCTAACACAAAAATGCCACTCTAAAGTAATATCTAAAATATACATATGCTTAGCAAATGTATCTATTTTGTGGGGATTTCTTTCCAGACAACTTGGTGGGAAAAATCTCTAAGTAACTAACTACATCATTAAAGCACAATAGTTACCTCCACTAGCATTTGTCAGAAAGCAAAAGACTATGCTGGACAGGGTGTAGTATTTAAAATGCTTGTCAATGACTGACCATATGGGGATACAATTATTACAGGCACTTTACTAGAGTCACCACTTTATTGATAAAACAAACTAGGACTTAGTGGGGAAAACTCTTCATGAGTTTTTAGTTTCCCTGTCCTTTTATATCACAAAAATAAATTATAAGCATCACTTTCTCAAAAGCAACTTTGCTATCCACAGGATTCTGATTTCCAGGACACACTACTAGTCAGAAATCTTTAATTTCACCCATAACAAGCCTGTTGTTTTCTGACATTTACTTCTATTATCCAAGACATCTGTATTTTTACTTTTCTCCAGCTGCCAAGCCACATAACCCAATCTTTCATGAACTCATGACAAAAAGCAGTAACATCTTAGCAGGTTTTTCACCTTCTGTACTTCTTCCTATTGCAGGGAGTGTTTTTACAACCATGCTCGTTACTAATTTTTCTACAACCATTAGATCTAAAGGACAGGTATAACAGTATTTATTAACTTTAACTTTTCAAAAGGAAATGCTTCCTATCAAAGACCAATGCATGTATTTCTCTCACTATATGAGCCAAAATTATAACCTGGCAACCTCTTGCAGATAGAGCTGGAGAGACTTAAGTTACCCCAGTCAGAGAATAGTACTGCGAGAAATTACACACAAAACTGAAACATGAAATTGTTGCTTAACCACTGCAGCACAGGGTACCCAGCTACACGCAGAACAACTGCCAGGTGAAGGTGCTTTACACAGAACAGAAGTGTTCTAATGATCTGCTACGGCTAGCACTCCTTGGAAGCCAGAGCATCCCAGCTGAGGACAGCAACAGCTTACTGCAGCTGTTTTGAAGAGGCTCATTTACACAGTAATTGCAAGCCCTGTACTTCCCTTTTTTGCAAAGATGACGTGTCAAAGTATGACAGCAATGCCTCACTGGGAAGTGGCTTTAAAAAATTAACAAATCAAACAACATACTCTGTATGTTACCATTAATAATTAATTCAGTACTACTTTGCTGAAGAGCATCCAGAAGACAACAGATAATAAAGCACTGATTTTTCTTTAAAGTTACACACTCCTGCAGCCTTAGTACACTACTTCCTTACTACTTCTCACACTTGGAGGAAAAATACATGTTAGCCAGCAATGGGACTTACTTCAGTGATTCTGCCATCCTTATGTATTCTGGGGCCTTCTGGTCCACCTTCTCCATGCAGAGTCGGAGTTTCTTGTTATAATATTAAAACAAAATGTATAAAAAAAGAACTGACATTAAAATACTAATGCAAGAACTTGTTGACGTGAATCTTTTCATGCTGCTTGTGCAGATTTGAAGATAACCAGGTGAAATGCACTTTAACTGTTCAGGATGACAAGACTCTCCAGTTATCTCCAGAACACATATGGCATTGTCAGGAACAGAGAAAGACTCACTGTACCCCTATAAGGTGGACTCTGAATCTTGAAGGTGTTTGAATGGCTGACTTGGACAACTTCTAGCCTTACCTCTCTTCACCAACAAGAGCACCAACAAAAACTCTAATTAATTCTAACCAGGGGAGCTTGTGAACTCTACTGAAAAGATATCTGGTGATCATCAGTACCTGCTGCAAAGAATTTGAATGTAATGTTGATAGAGATGGTTCAAAAAATGCATTTCCCATCAGTGTAAGGACTGATGGCAACAGTGGTGACGTCAAGTTCCAGTGCAGCCCAGCTATCAAATGCACAGTATATCACTCACTGGTTTAAACAAGTTCACAATTTTAAGAGAGAGGCATGTCTGAACTACTAGCTCCAGATGATGAGAATGAAGACGTATTTTAAAAATACGTGGGAAGCTAATGTGGGCTATAAATACTATATTGAAATTGATTCCAACATTTCAGATATGTCTTTGCTACATGGCATGAACACCCAATGGTCTCTTCTAATACAAGTCAGTATTAAGTCATAGAGTTTAGACATAAGGTAACAAGCCAAAAGTCAAGTAGTGACCATATATGCAGACATATATGCTGTAGCACAGAGCTTGACTTACCTCATAGAGTTTCACTATCTCTGGTGTGTATTCTTTCTCATCAATCTGTTGCTCTCTTTTCAACAGGGTGTCTTTGCAGTGCTGACAACAACGTATTCGTTCATCATCCTTCTCATCCAGAACAGAGTTCACGCTGCTTATACTGCTAATGCTGCCACGGCGGGAGCCGTGGACACTGCTGGGTGAGGAGTTTGGGCTTGTATGAGAACCCAAGGCCTCTCTGCTGGCACTAGTGAGTTTGCCTGAAAGTTATACACGTGTAATTTCACAGTAACTGGAAAAGCCAACAGATTTTACCAACACAAACAAACTGCCCTTTAACAGAAACTTTACATTCAGGTGGTACTAAAAAACTAGGTTGAAACAGTCTGCTGAAAGACATGCAAGGATTGCATGACAACCATGACTGCAAGTCAGAATTTGGGTCTTCACTGCAAATCTTGCTGTATTTAAAACTAGCTAGAGAGCAGACTGTTGAGCATCACCGACATTGCTTATGCCTGCGAGCATTCTCATGTTTGAGCCTGCACAGTCACAAAACAATGTGTAGAACAGGTATGATAATGGCATCCAGGCACTGTGCTTGCACACTCTGAAAAGCACAGTTAATGTCTTTTATCTCCACAGAACATACAGTCTGCTCTCCAGTGCAAGATGAGAAAGATAAAAGTTTCCAGTGGTTCTTAAAGACCTACACATAAATTTCCCTAAGTTGCTGTCCCAAGGTCTAACATTTGGACAACACAGACAAAACTGGAAAAATCCAAAATATTGGAACCTTGGCTGTTCCTAAAGCTAATAGCTCCATAGTTATAGTACTCAGTAGAATAAATAATACCTATATTTACCAGGAGTTTCTACTTTTTTACTTCTTAGTATTTTTTTATTTACTATTATGACTATTACTTCTAGTAAATTTTTCAGTGTTATGCAACACTTCCAAATCTGAAGAAGAACAGAGAAAAAGAATGGAGAAATAATTCCTTGTATTGTGCTTCACAGGCAAGAGTCTGCATGAAACTGAATGGAAGTTTTCTGCAGAGCCAGACTATTAGCAGCATATTTTTTTCTAATGGCAAAAAGCCAGGGTGCACCCAAAGTGAGCTAAGAAAACAAAGAATTAACTCTTAAGTACTTACTTGCCAAAGGAAGACTGACAAATTCCATGCACTTCTTGCACATAATAGACCCACAAAGGCGGCAGTGGTGACGTCGGTTTCGGATACTGAACTTACTGCCACAGTCTGGGCAAAATGGAACATCCTGATCACTGACCCAAGGCACAACAGACTTCTCTATAGCTGTGAGCAGGAATATACACCACATAAGTGTTCAATTGATTCCTCAGCTGGTTAGACTATAGGGGCAAATAGTCTCAGATAAGCTCACACTAACCTCTTATTTTAGCTGACTCAGTGTTTGCTCTGTCAAATGATGTCAGCTGGTTGAAGATAAATATATTTAAGAAGATTATACTTTTGCAAGGAAAAAACCCAACACAACTCAGCCCAACAAGAAAAAGAAACCTGTTTTTTTTTAAGAGAGAGGAGTTTCAGCTGGTTTTACACCAGACTTATGCAACTTTCATTTTTTTTCTAATTCCATATTCATACCAGTGCTAAACAATGACTTATCAAACCTGTACAAATCAGGACATTTTGGACATAATCTTTTGCAGCCAACATAACTGCATCTGAGCCAAAATGCAGGTGTACCATTGGCAGATTTTGAAGGATGAAAAGCTGGAAGAATCATGATAAAAATATTGGGGAGCAATTTAGTGAAGTAAACATGGAGAAAATAAAACAGGAGAACAAATGGCTCTTGAAGCATGTGAAAGTAGCATCTTCAGCTTGAAAATGGTGCATAGAGCCAGAAATAATACCCATAGCACAGAGTCAAATCATGCACAGTTCTCAAGGTAATGCATAAAGAGAGTCATAGTTTAGGATCTTTTATAAAATGTATCCATACTGAAATAGCTTTTTTTTTTTTAATCTAGGAAACATTTAGAAGGCTGGAATATTAAGAAGCACCAAATTTACCTTTTCTAACCTGATTATTAACTTATTGACTTCAACTACATAGTGATCAATCCTGGCTGCTCGGTGTTTCTTGAATTCAGAAAGATGGCTTCTCATAGCACCTGCAGGGATAACAGAAAGTTGTCCTGATCACCCAAGTACTCTGTATGGATTTAAATGCCACATGAAAGACAGATATCTCTTCTTTTCACCCTTGTCATGTTCAAATTCAATTTTAAAGACACATTGGAACCCTACATTTTCACAGTGTTGTTGTAAATAAAACATGCTAGTTAAAGCCTAATATTCAGGCTAGCAATAAACAGTGGTTTACTTCTACTACAGAAAACAAGCAGCACTGTGTTAAAAAGAAAATCTGCAATAATTTTTTTTCTCCATCTTCATTACATTTACAATTACATTTGGTAAGCTGTTACCTACTAGTAGCGTTCTCAAAACCAGCTCCCTTTAGTTTCCTGGCTACATGTTGAGCAAAGGGAAGAAGCACACCCAAGGATTACTGAAGGTCTATGCAGCAGCAGTTTTGTTTCAGATTTCTGATCATCTCTACACCTTTAGGGGCCTGAATCAAATCCTTGATGACAGTTTAGATTCGCCTGAATCAAATCCTTGATGACAGTTTAGATTTGCAGAAAACTGGTCACCAAGTATTGAAAAGAACTATATAGCATCTCTAAGATATCTACAATTCATAGTCAATAATATTGGTTTAAGATTACTCCTTTTCCAAGTAAGGTGGATGAGGTATTAAAAATCAAACTTACAGACAAAAAAACTAAAGACCCCAAACTAACCAACCAACCCAAAAAAATATCTTTCTTCCAGCTGGCAAAATTCAAAATCAGATGTTACTTTTTGCTACAACTTATGTAAATGTAAGAATCTCACTTCCTCATGCTAACGGGGTAAACAAAAATCTCCAAAGATGCATTCATAGAAGCGAAAGAGTCCCTCTGGGTCACTGATTTAAGCCACTGCTTTGGAGACACAATCCCTTTCACTGATCCATCAAATCACATGCCAAAATCTCTATGGTTTATCTTCTCAACGCTCATCAGAAAGCAGTTCTCACTTCTCTAATGTTCATAAACCTTCTCCCTAAACTTATTCTTAGCTAATATTTACACTATGATTGCTGCTCAGATAGTTACAAAGTCAAAAGTAAAGAAATATACAGAACTCAGACCTTGCAGACCCAAAGGACTCAGTCCTAGTTTGGCAGCACCATAGTGGAAACTTTCCCATGATCCACAAAAGATGGTGCTGCTTCCTTCTCCAAAAATAACCATGGTATTTCAGTTATAGTACAGGCAACTGCCAGTAGCAGTATTTATAATTACAGGCTCAGTCAATATCCTTGAAATTCTACAAATGTAGATTTATATTCAGAGGAGTGGAGTTTGTTTGTTGTTTGGTTTTATAACTTGGTCATTTTAAAGTAAGCCCCCTTTTAATAAGAGGTGATTGCCGCCGCTAATCCAAGGAAAAAAAGTTTTAATAGATGGATAATCCTTTTGTTGAACATGCAAACTAACAGCTACTTTAAGTGTAGCCCAAAAGCTAGAGATTTTATACACTTATAACTTAGCTTTTAATTAGTGGGTTTTCTGTTTTGTAAGGTCACAAGATGAAGCTAGCTGCACAGAGGTAAACACAGACTAAGCAGATCTCAGCAGGACAGCAACAATGACATGACTAACAGCTCCCTGAAGGGGAGCTTGGGTACTGATTCTATACATGTCTTTTCTTCTCCCCATTAACCATGTTTTACCCACACTCCACCCAATGCAAATAGGCTGCTCAGTCAGTGTGCAAACCATAACCCCTGCTAGCGAATCCAGTGCAGCACAGACACAATTCCAAGCCACTTCAGCAATAATGTAGCACTTTCCCGACTGAGTCCAAAAGTTATCCCCACTGTGTATTGCTTCCTAGCTCTCCTACCTACTTCCTGAGGCTCCCACATGTATGGATCTACTCCACCATAGCTGAATGATTCATATCGTTCCTGAGATCCAGAATCAGTTCTGTCATCATCTTCTTGTTTCAACAACTTCTTCTTTGCTCTTTTGGCCTTCTGGACTAAATCTAAAAAAATAAACCCAAGTTATCTAACATATCAGGTAGTCACCAAATATTTGTCATGTGAAGCCAGTATAGAATATTCCTCGTCTTTTAGCAGAAATACTTTTCCTGGATAAATTTATCCTCAAAATATTCTTAGAAGAAAAATGCAGTTCAGAGCACCACAGACGACACAAAATGCTCTCTGTTGTCTGTCATAAAGCAGCATGAGGTCCTAAGGACAAGAGAGAAGACCGTTGTCAGACTTCACTGTAAAACAGTAACATATCTTAAACTACGGTACCTGTCTCACTGCACGGGGCATCATACAGTTTTATCTTAATTCTCATAATTCCCTATTATTTTCTTCAGATTCAAGAACGTTCAACACATTCCTTGTCTTATTACACAAGCTACCAATTTCAGTGTGCTTGTAACAGTCCAGTGTTAGGGTTAGGGTTTCACCAAGAAAATTAGTTAATACTTCAAAAATCTATCTCAAGAGGGGGGAAAAAAAAAAATCAAGACTGCCAGGCCACTACCTCGAGCATACTAAAACCAGAATTTGCAGGAACCACAGAGAATTATCACTAGATTTTAAACATTCTTCTCTCAATATAAAATGACATTGTCAATATAAAATGACATTGGGTACACAAGGGAGTAAAATAAGGGAAATGTCTTAGTAAAACAAAATTCAAAGAGATTTTCCAAACATTACTGAAAGGTGGAAATTCATAACAGATATGGAGCACTCCCAGCATCTCCTGCTAGCTCCACCATCCACATACTTTACCATGTAACAACAGTTCTTAACTTCACACTTTAACTGCAACCACAGTTTTATCTACTGTCAAAACAAGAAATTATTGAACTGGAACCTGGCAAGTACCAGAGACTCTCCATATTCTCCACAGTCTTCAAGTAATTCTTGGGTATTCACTGGGTTAGTATAATTTTGAGTTTTCCGATAAAAACAAACAAGAAACCCAAAAATGTCAATAGTAAAAATTGTGCATAAAATCAAACATTTGAAGAGCAACGTCCGTTAGCCCCTGCTTTAGAATCAATTTATGGAAAGTATCGGGAGAAGGTGAATACTGTGCTTGGCCCAAGGAGATTTACGGAAGAATGGAACTGCATACCTCGCCTGTAAGTCCCTTCAATTAATATTTTATTGTTGTCAGACATTCGGGAGCACTCGAAATACGAGCAGGGATTTCCCACGACCAAGCCGAACGCGTTTACCGCGGCCACCCTTACTTCGGAGCTGCGCCCTGACGTCCCGGTCTTCGCCCGAGTGCTGCTCCTCGTAGTGCGCCTGGAGCTGCCGGAACGCCTGGAGATCCTTCAGGCACAGCGGGCAAAGGAAGCCCTCGCGCACTTCGGTCGGGTCCCCGAAGGCCGCCGGGCAGCCCGACGCCATCGCGGCCGCGCGCGCTGCCCTCAGCGGCTGTCGGGATGCGGAGGCCGCATCGTCATCAGGCACTGCCTGAAACGAACCAGGCCAGGGCCGTGCGACCGGCGGCACATGAAAGAAGGCAGAAGGCCCCGGGCTGGGCGCGAACCCCTCCAAGGGTTCCCCTCCCGGTCCCTCCCGTTCCTTTCCGGTCCCTTCCGGTCCTTTCCGGTCCTTTCCGGTCCCTTCCGCGGCCCCGCGCAGGCCCCGCCCAGGGCAGGAGAGAGGCCGCGCAGGGAGATGGGCGGGGCTTGAGGCGCACCGCCCGCCGGGGGAGAGGCCGCTGAGGGCTGCTCCGCCCGCCTGAGGGTCCGTGGCCCAGCGACAGCCCAGGGACGGCCCGGGAAACGCCCGGGGCAGGGCCTGCCTCACCTCAGCGCCCGGGCGGCCGGTGACTGTCTACAAAGCAGGGCGGCCGCGGCCCGTCCCGGCTGCCGGGAGCGGCAGAGCGCGGCTGAGGGCGGGGCGGGCGCTGAGCCATCGATGAGAGGAAAGGGCGGGGACAAGGAGGGCTCGTCCGACACGGCGGGGAGGCTGCCGAGCGCCGAGCTATCGATGTTGGTCGGGCGCGGACGCGGAGGGCCGGCAGCGTGATGGCTGTCTCTTCTGAGGCCAGGACCGCTCGCTGTATCCAGCCGCCTTGCAGTAGGCCCCGGTAACGGGCCCGCAGAGCTGCAGTGACAGAGTCCTCACCAGTACGGGACGGTTCTGTCACGTAGGGGACACACGTCCCGCCGCCGCCCCTTCCCGCCCCGGTGCCCTGGGACCGTTCCCACAGCGCTGAGGGGTCTGTGCTGAGTGTCCTAACCGCTGAGCACGCTCGAGAGGACCACCGCTGCCAATACCAACACGCTCCACATTCCCTTTCCCAGCCTACCTAATCTTCCTAAAGGAAGTGTCCCAAAACTGTAAACCAGAACAGCCGGTGGCGTATTCAGCCGTAGACGAAGCCCAGGAATCCCACTACTTGCGTCCTGACAAAGATTTGTGTGAATCAACGGCAGGGCATTTCCAGTGTCCCCCTTTCTGATGCCGGCTTTTGTTTAGTCTCAGCTGGCACCAGTCCCTTCTCTCACACACTCCCAGTCGAATAGAAACAATAGGAGTGTGTGACCACACTTTGGCTTCATGTGTTGGGATTACAAGCTCTTGGAGGCAGAGATTTTTTTTCGTGGCAATGCTATTTACACTTGAGTCCTATCCATTAAAGGTGGACTTTGATTCATCATGCCCTGCTCTTCTACCCTCTATATTAAGCCCGGATCGTGATGGAGTGGGGTGGAAGAGAACCAGCCTGAAGCTCAGCGTCTTCGAGGATTCACCTGCTGTGGTGTCTGGATTTGCTGGAGCCGGGCAGTTTCCTGGCGATGAGCCATACCTGCGCCACCAAGTGGCACCAGCTGCCTTCGTTGTTGCTCCTTTACACGTGTCTCTAGAAGAACTGCAAGATCCATATCGCAGAACTTTTAGGGAGGTTTCTGTTGGTGTTTCAGTTTTCTGGTTCCCGTTTCATGTGCTTGATTTGTCACGAATGTGTAGGGAACGGGCATAAAAAGGGATGGGTGAAGGATGGGAGCCGTGGCGGTCACTAGATGGCACCCCGAGCCCGTCCGGGAGCAGCCGAGCGCGGGCCCGTGGCGGCCTCGGCCGTGCCTTGCGCCCGCCTTCGCTGTAGAGGTTTTTTCTCCTGCCGTGGGCTGTGAGCCCTGTTGACCCGGGCAGTCCATCCTGTCTTGCCGTTCCCAGGTAGTAAGAATCAGGTGTGTAAGGAAAAGCGAGGCTGTACAGAACAGCAAGCTGTTTCTTCAGCCCTGTCTCTCCACAGCTTCACTAACTGCTCTATTTCAAAAATAAAGGGTTAAAAGCTAATTAAAGTGGTAAATAGAACAATTGAAGTCTGGTAGCCTCCTGTTGGGATACAAACCATGCAGTGAGGACTACCTGCAGTGAGTTGTGAGGAGGAAGATGGCATGGTGGGGTCTGCACAGGAAATCAAACATTTCACTGTGTCTTCACTTAATTGTGCTCCTTTGCATGTTCTACATTTCACCTCAGATATGAGAACACATCTCACCGAATGAATCTTCTTCAAGTACTGATAAAACACTGTGTAGTGTCAATCACTCTTGAAAAGAGAAATTTAATTCAATGTTTTTAAAGAAAAATGCCACTTGTTTGCTTGTTTCTGAATATAAGTGGCCTTCATCCCTTCCTGAGAAACTCATTCCCCATGAAGTGACTCCACCTCTCAATATGATTTGGGTCTTTATGAGGGTATTAGACTTACTGGAAATATCTCAGAGACAATTAGAGAACTGATACTACAAAATTAGGCCAGATACAGTGATGTGTGGAATGCTATCAGTTTCCTCAAAGGGAAATTTGAGTTTCCATATCCCTTAACAGATGTTGAGCATGATCTAGTTTTGTGCTGGTATAAACAAAAAGACTTTGGCTGCTGTTATTTGGTCAGTCTCATCCCACTTCCCCATACAGAGAGTGTTCACAAAGTGAAAACATCCAGATCAGTCTATAGCAATTCAGTTTACAGTGCTTCAAAAATTTATTTGTCTTCATCCAGCTAGTTGCAATAGGAAAAGGTATTTGGGGACAAATTAAACCTTACTGCAATTCTACAGGTTCTCTTGGGGGCTTCATTTTATCAGTAATGGTTCACAGGGAATGAATGCAAGCAAACAGTAGCACAGAAGGACTCGCTCCAGCAGTTAAGTTGGACTTGTACTGCCTCATCCTGCCCCTAGGATATAAAAGCTCGGATGACAAAAGCCCACATCTCTTAGGTAACTCCTCTGCCACAGTCAAGGTCCTTTGCAAACAGTAAGAAAGTAAGTGGTAAAATATGTTTGTGAGTTGTGATAACTCTTAACTGTGAATTTTAGGACCTGGTCTGTTGCTAAATTGGTAATTGCTACTGATGTCCAAGAGGAGAAATTTCAGTGGGCTGAATTTTGGAATACGGCTGAGAAGGGGGATGCAGTTGGTCCTGTAGCCATGACACAGCTCAATCGGAAATATGTTCCAGTTGGCGTCATCTGTGTTCTTCGACTTCTTGTAATACCTTCAGTACTATTTGGAATGTTTAATAATGGAATCTGACCTCTGCACAGGCGAGGTAAATGCTAATGATGCCTATCTACTTCTCAGGGTATTCAAGTGGAATGTTTTTCACAAACATAGTGAAAAAAAGGTTTAAAATACCTGAAATTTAACAGCATTGAGTTCAGTATAGACTTTCTAAACAGAGTGTAAGCAGAGTGAAAAATCAGACTGTTCTTCAGAATGTTCTTTGTATTCCCTAAATATTCCTTAAACAAAACGGTCACTTAATTTAATTTAATGCTGTTTTCTAAATTTACCTAAATTCAATTTTAAAATTTAATGATAGGTTTTTAAAAAATTAATTTTAAATTTCCTAACATTGAAATAGGTAGCACAAAACTCATCTTATAATGTTAATGATCTTTTTTTTAATTTATCAGAGAAGATGGTTTATTTGCTTGTTTAGGTGGATCTGACCTAAAATTTCCTGTATTTTTTCATTTTGTTCAGAGAACTAAAATATTTTCATGTTGCTGTTCATTTTACCAAAGCTCATATATTCAGTATACTCAAGTTGCTTATACTAAACATTTTGATACATAACAAATCTGTTTAATTGGTCTTTGTAGACAGGATAGAAGCCACATTTCCATGCCAAATCCACGATTTTTACTGTGTTTGCAGTCTCATCAATCCAAACTGACAACCTCATGGTTTGTAAGAGTGGCAGCTTGTTGAGCCCCTTTTATCTGATTTGTTGATTAACTGCTTGGATACCTGCAAGCCAGTCATCATCTCAAGTTTGTTTGGTCCCTTAACACTGCTGAATAATCTGTCATATTGGTCCTGAGTGCCATGGAGTGGCAGCACTTACATAAAGTAGGTGAATTATAAAGAGGAGAGATGGGAAGATTCAGAATTTCTTTGCATTTACATTTAATTTAATGGTTTAACTGTAAGAGACATACACCACAATGCCTGGATTCCATTCAGGGGTCATTTCAAATGTCAAGTACACCATATTGGAGTGCTGTCTCTTCTAACCTCTTGTCTTCTCTTTTGTCTACAGGCTTGTGCAGCAACTGATGCCCTTCTTGAAGACAGCATGTCTAAAAGCAATAAGTAGAATACCCTCACCAGTTGGTATTTTATAGGGAAAGATTTATGATTTTTTGTAAGGTTGTTGCTCTCTTTTTCAACACCACTTGCTTGTTCAAAGTGGTGTTTCAACATCACTTGCTCTTTGTCTTGACTGTTTGACTCAGAGAACCTTTCATAAATTCTTACTATATTTTTCATTTGTCTTGACTTTCCTCCTCTTCCTCTTCTTTTTTCACAAAGCTTCTTCAGACATCCCACACAGTACCAGCTTCAAAATCAAGAGGGAATTCATGGTGAAAACATATGCTTCTCTGTGAAAATTACTTTAAATCAACAATCATATTTCAGGCAGACTCTTCAGATCAGTTCCCCTAGTTTTCTATACCAATCAGTCTATGCTGCATCATATTAATTACATCCATTATAGAGAGAAGATGGCAATGAAGTAACTATGGCATGTTGGATTCTCGATTACCTGCATTCCATTTTGTAGGAGTGTTTGTGCAATCTATGAAGTCCAGATTCCCCCTCTTTCCAATGTGTATGAACAGGAAGAAAGTGAGGAAATGTTAGCTGTAAGTGAGGAAGGTGTTCCTTCAGTCAACCCTTCTGTGGCATACTGCTGTCTTGTCTGGATCACTGGCTGTCAGTTCAAACCACAGCGTCTGAAATAAGTTCAAGAGCTGGTTTCACCCTTTGGCTGGAATCATTCCATTGTACTGGTATCTGAATGCCCATGTGTATCAGAAACAGGTATCCTGCTCTAGCGTACCAATACAATTTATGATCTAGTAACACTCCTTCAGCCAGTGCTCCTCCCATCTTGTGGAATCAGAGAGGGTGAATTGGCTGGTACCTGACAAATGTTCTTTCCTTTGTTTCCTTCTTAGTAAATATAAGCTGTATTGGTTTCATCGAGGAAACAAAGCACAAATGTCTTCACATAGGTCTAAAAGTAGTCTTAAGGCAGGTACATTA